CACCAACGCATTTTGACACTTTTACTCTTTTCAAACAGCTGCCGTTTAGTGTGACAGAAAAATCAATCACTCCCGTGATCACTGATCGTGGTCCAATGAGCATCACATTTGTCTTATCCGCTTTAAGATCTAGAACTAGTTTGTTGTTACCCAGGAAAATATATTTTCCATAAAGTACTTTTGGTTAGCTTTTGGTTAGCTTTTGTTCTACTTCTGTAACATAACTCCCGCTGACTGTTAGAGTCGTGTCGTGTCATCAGCATACTTGACAATGCCATCATGAATACATTTTGGGTAAACTATTTATGTAGATAGAAAAAAGCAGTTGCCCTAGAATCGAACCTTGTGGGACTCCCATCATAACTTTTGAAGAACTTTAAGTAGCCCTTTTAGAACAAATCATCATGTACAGGCAGATAAAGAGCAACCAAGATAGTCTGGATCTACAGAGAGACATTAATCGCCTGGTTGCTTGGGAACAACGGTCGCAAATGAAATTCAACCAAAAAAAATGTTATGTTATGCAATGCATGTTACTCACAAAAAAAAAAGATAATCGAAATACAGTATCGAATGGGGGATTCCGTTTTGGAAGGCGTACTCAAGCACGCATAGCCCACTGGTTTAAAATTTTCAGTAGAGTGAAGAGGACGAAAACCTGACTGGTTAGGATACAGTATTTCATTTTTGTCTAGAAAACCACAGTTGAAAATGCACAGCTTTCTCTAGAAACTTGCTCACAGGTATGGGTCCAGGGTTGAAAGTTAGTATCCGGTTAAAGTGTACCAATCACCCAAAACATCTTTTACACTGGATGTTAGGGGTTCCATGTGGCTAGATCTATACTGTATTCAAAATATGAGCTTCAAATATTATATGATATCTGGCTATACACACATATTTTTTTCAGGTGATTGACTGAGGAGTGATTGTTTCTGAAACATGCGTCGCAAAAAAAAGTCATCTATAAAGCCACTGGAGCTTTGCACATAATCCTATTTGTATGCTGGTTATAAGAATTGAGTGGTGTCATTTGATGGAAAATAATTGATAAGTATAAAAAAAAAATTAAAAAAAAAGCTGAATATTGTTCGGTTTCAAAAAAAAACCTTGGTCATGTAACCTAGCCCAACTTAACCGCCTTTATCTTTAATATTACTTATGATGTAATGGTTCGAATTATACATATATTTGAATGACTGTGTGTCAACAACAAAAAATATTATCTTTTAAAACGGTGCACTTTGAAGACTTGTCCAACAGATACTTGTTTTATATTTATGATCTAAGATCTACCTGTTGTGCCTTTTTGATATCGAATCGAATTATGTATAATTATCTTATGTAATTATATATATTTGTGTACAGTCAAAGCTTTTTTTAAGGTCACCCAAGGGAAACAATCAAGCGGCCTTGTAAAGGGTGGTTTTTCTCGACAGGTTCTACAACACAAAATTCTCTTTTGAGGGAGACAAAATGCACGGCCACTATAGAAAGGTGGCCTTTATAAAAAGGTTTCCACAAAAACAGCTTTGACTGTATTATACCATCAGCGAATAAGGAAAGCCTTGTACAGAAACTTGATTTATTTTGGTAATCCCCAGGCATTAGTTGATTTTTTACTTCCTTTTTTTTTGTATATCCTTTGTTATTGTTTTCTTTTTATACTCCATTATTTTCCTGGAAATGAGCGCTATCGATTGGCTGCTTAATGCACGCGAGCGAGCCACTGCTTTGCTGCTTGTTGCATGCATGCTTGCATTCGTTAGAGCAGTTATTGTTCATGCCCATTGTACTGTGCTGAGTGCTTCGCACGCGCCATCAATCGTACCATCGCCTGCATCAGATTATCTCAAAATAAACTTGGCACATGGGGGATTTGTGGCTTGGCACAATGGGGACTAGCCCTGTGGCTCTGGGCCATTATCATTATGGCGGGATAAGAGTTAATAGATTTCAACTAACAATGAGGCGTTCAAACCTAATTCATATAAGTCATGTCAAATGTAATTCAATTCAAGTAGTATAAGAGTTTACATGTACACTATTATACCGATGTGTTGTCACTTTTTTTATACAAATTAAAAGAAAACTTCACTTAAAATCCAAGATAGATTTCAAATAAGTGCCTTTTCAAAATTTCATAAACATATGTATTTGTAGAATTAAATCCCCTCCGTATTTAATTTCACTTTACAAAAAATCACCAGAACAACAATTCATGTTGATTAGAAGCCTAGGATGAAAATGGCTGTCTTTACCAAACTCTCTCTCTTCTAAAGGGTGACCAACAGCACATATATATCAGCACATAGCTTCCTCAGTGAGCTGTAGACTGTTTCTACAAGGTACAAAGTACTTGATCAAGTCTCCTCGACATGTACTCTGCTGAAATTCACTCATATAACTTGCATCCCTTGCAGGGGAAAAATATACGGGGGCTCGAGCGAATTACCCCCCCCCCCCCCCCCCCCAAAAAAAAAAAAAAATGCCCCAAAAGTCTTAAAAGAGCCCCCAAATTTTGCATAGAGTTCAATGCAAAACAAATTAAAGAGTGTTATTTCCATGCAAACAAGCTTGAAAAGTAGCCCCCAAAATTGTTTAAGGAATTTTTTCCCCGATCCCTTGTAACGGTATCTCTCCTTCCAAAAGGTTCAAAGCATTGCAGTGGAGTGAGTGGTTCATCTACTTGACACAACATCTTTCTTAATCTCTTCACCCCCCCCCCCCCCCTCTCCTCTCTCGCTCTCTGTTACTCGTGAGTGGTTCATCCACTTGACACAACATCTTTCTTAATCTCTTCACCCCCCCCCCCCCCTCTCTCCTCTCTCGCTCTCTGTTACTCGTGAGTGGTTCATCCACTTGACACAACATCTTTCTTAATCTCTTCACCCCCCCCCCCCTCTCTCCTCTCTCGCTCTCTGTTACTCGTGAGTGGTTCATCCACTTGACACAACATCTTTCTTAATCTCTTCACCCCCCCCCCCCCCCCTCTCTCCTCTCTCGCTCTCTGTTACTCGTGAGTGGTTCATCCACTTGACACAACATCTTTCTTAATCTCTTCACCCCCCCCCCCTCTCTCCTCTCTCGCTCTCTGTTACTCGTGAGTGGTTCATCCACTTGACACAACATCTTTCTTAATCTCTTCACCCCCCCCCCCCCCCCTCTCTCCTCTCTCGCTCTCTGTTACTCGTGAGTGGTTCATCCACTTGACACAACATCTTTCTTAATCTCTTCACCCCCCCCCCCCCCCTCTCTCCTCTCTCGCTCTCTGTTACTCGTGAGTGGTTCATCCACTTGACACAACATCTTTCTTAATCTCTTCACCCCCCCCCCCCCCCCTCTCTCTCTCCTCTCTCGCTCTCTGTTACTCGCTCTATTTCTCGCTCTATTTCTCTCTCTATTTCTCTCTCTCTCTATCTCTCTCTCTCTCTCTCTCTCTCTCTCAATTACCAACACTCTTCCACTTTCAATAATACCCCATGACCATGTACATATTGTTATTCTTATCATCAAAAGAAAAATGGTTCATTTTTTAGGCTCTGGTACAATGTAATTGTGTATTCATGCAACAGGAAAGAAACATAAGAGGAAGATATGAGGGCATTTGGCCCCAAAGATTGCAAAAGGCTTGTTGGAGAAGGGCCATCCAGGTTATGAAACTTCCAAATCAACAGTATGGAAGAAAAAAACAGATGGTTATCCATAGGGTTGAGGGTTTGAATCTCTATCGGTACCTATAACACAAGGCACTTTTATACACAAGGCACTTGTGGAGATGCCTTGGCCTAGTAGATCAAATGGTTCGCTCTTAGAGTCTGACTACCGTAAATCTCTGTGTATAAGATGCACCCCTATTTGCCAGGTCCGTACGCGGGGAAGGACCTAATTTTACTGCGAGGTGCGGTTGAAGGCGTCGATTTGTGCTTGTGAACTTGTCACAAATAATAGTAACAATGTCATTTTTAAAACTAAAGATGACAGACAAATTTTCCTCCAAGTTCAAACAGAAATCCAGCCATACAGGTGGTAGTGTTCTAGTTTTGGAGTAATGAGTCAACACGCCTTATATGACTGAGCTACGAAACATTGCCAGGCACAGTGCAGGGGCATAAATCGACACTTTAAAAACAAAAAATTATAAAAAAATTAATCGCTGGAAAAAAGTGCGTCTTATACTCAGAGATTTACGGTAATGTCTTTTAGCAAGACATTAATCTACATTTGCCACACTCCACCCAGGTGATGTAAATGGGTACCTGGTAGGAATTCATTCCATGAAATAATTGAGAATAATAATATTAATAATATTTTATTTTTATATAGCGCTTAATACAATCGTCTCTAAGCGCTACACAAATATACTATTACCCGGCCATTGGATTCAGTGCTGGCCCGCACACAACGTGTGCACAATCTCCACTCCCTGGGGAGCATTCCAGCCAGGCGTTATATGAGGTTTAAAAACTGTTTGACCAACAATGACGGTCGCATCCTACCGGGTACCCATTTAACACCTGGGTGGAGAGTAGCAATTGCAGGTTCATATCCAGCCAAAGGATATTAGTGCCGTGTCGGGACTCGAACCCTCGACCTTTGCATCTACAAGTCAAGCACCAGGAATGTCAAATCTGACAGGCATGAGTGCTATACAAGAACTGACTATTATTATTATTATTTATCAGCACTCGTCTGTGTCTATCCACATGTTAAATGGGTACCTGGTAGGATATATCCCTTGAAATGAACTCTGTGCTTGCAACAATGTTTGCCAGAGTTAGAGCCTAAGTAATAATATCAAAACCTTTCAGAAGCGCGCATGGACGTTACATCAGTGCGATGTGCTCCATACACAAATATTTATCATAATTAATATCATTATTAATATCATACACATTCAGGTTGCATCCAATAAGCCAGTTCATAGCTGCAGTCTGATCATGAGCAGATAAAGGTCATTGCAGACCAAATTGTGAAATACACTGAGACAAAATACTGGATACGTGCTCATGAAAGTTATTTAATCATTATTCATTCATGCACAAGCAGTGCACTCCATAATACACGGGTGGAAGTATTATTTCAAAAGGGGAAACAAAGGCTATCTATGTAGCACCTCCATCGCTGTAGGAGTGATTATTTCAAAATGTACAACGTGGGACCTCTTCATGTTTTGTAGATCTGTGGACACTCTGGGTCATTTGGGACATGTGCTATCTGTGAACTGTGTTATCCGTGAACTGGTCTATTGTGTCACTTGATGGGCCTCTTTGTGTTATAAACTCTGATCCCTGCAGCATTGAGTGATGTCCGGCAGTTCCTCTGGAGTAGCGCACCCACCGATAACTTCTCTGTTGATAGATCTCTGTCAAAGACAACAGTCAAAAGGGAACTCTTGTAGTGTCTTTGGCTTAACAGTACCATAAACAAATCAAATTAGGTACCCCACTAAAGTAAACCATCAGGGGCCTGTTACATAAAACTTACAATTGATGGTAACTGTGCCATCAATGGCAACTACCAAAGTACATGTAACAGGGCTCGACAGCCAATCAAAATCAAGGTTTCCATGGTTGTTACCATTAATGGCAAATTTACCATCAATGGCAAGTTTTGTGCAACAGAGCCCAGATCTTTTTAGAAATTACATATTCGCTGAATAAACTGTCATTTGTTCACCAAATTCTATTTCTCCATTACATTATTTCCTCTACATCTTTCCTTTCCATGTCATTATTGATGTATAAATAATTTTGTTTAAAACAAATAAGGCATTATTTCCATAATCTTATCTTTTCTTTTCTTTCCTTAGCTATTAGCTTTCCTACATAACTCTAAATGCCCCCAAAGCTGGTTAATTTTGACCCCCAAAAAGCCTACAAAGGATATTCTAACTAATTTACAGCTGATTCTATACTGGCATGTCTTCCAATGAAAAACTACAAACTCCATGTACAAGAGCATGAATTTGTTTTCAAGAGAACATTCTCTAAAAAAAAAAGAGAGGTGATAATTCAAGACGAAGTGTGCCTTACTCTATGTAAGAGGTAATCTCATCTAGCGTCCATCTCTCCTTCGTTTTAAACAAGACATCAAACCTGAAAGATAAATAAAAGAGAACAATAACTTTGTTTTGCACTAGTCTGAATTTTCCAATAAGGAATGAACAAATTCACATTCATATTGAACACAGAAGCAACTACTTTTGTAAAATCAATCTAAGGCAATACAAATAAATGTTTCATCTATTAAAGCCTGTCTGCACTAGTTTGGCCAGGGGGGATTAGACCTCCCTGCTAGGTCACCGACAGGAGGTTATCTCATCAAATCAGCTCTCAATTAACATAAGAAAAAGAGGATCAGATCATGGGGGACCAACAGGCACCGATTAGGCATGGTTTGCTGTATAGAGGGCGCAAGTAGCTATAAGTAGTGCAGTGGGGCTTTAAAATGTGCGAACGTAACAATGAGGTATTAATTAATCCAAACATGATTTCTGTGGGACATACATAAATTCAACCAAGAAGTGTCATTTAGCACACCAAAATAGTGATTTTAGATATCACTCTGCATTGTCAATTTAAAAACTTCAATCATCATTCTGCATCAAATAATTTTTATTTGTGAACACCACGATGTACTGCTCGAGGAATGGACTTGAGTTTTCCAGTGATTCCGCACTTTCTGCTTATGTAAAATTTCTAATTCAGACTATTCTCAATCAAAAGATATTAATAAAACGTCACTACCAGGGACCTGTTTCACAAAGCCTTTTTTTCAATGACAAATGACAAAAATCAGTGACAAATCTGCTGATAACCAATCAGAAGCAAGGATTTTAGTAGCCTATAACAAAAACTGTGATGACAAGTTTTGTGAAACGCGCCCTCAGGTGACACTGAACTGCTATGGGTTACACATTTGTATTTTCCAAAAGACCTTCTGCATCATCATACCATACCTGCCAACATTTAAAAATAAGAATTAGGAATTTTTAGCACGGTATGCCTTCGAAAATTAGAAATCACACATGCAGCGGCAGTGTAACTGGCACTACATGGTAAATCTGGACCAAAAAGCGAATACAAATTCGCTGCTGGAGCATGCAGCCATTCAACGCACACAATACATGAACTCTCAAATCGCGGAACATGATAAAACAAGCTTAATTTGGCGTTAGCACCAAAATTAAAAAATAATAATAATAAAAATAAAAATATATTTTAAAATATATATATAAACAAATAAAAAAAAAAATGCGATACTGAAAACGAAATATTCTCCACATACCTTTCTCGTTCATTCTCTGGGAGATCTGAGAGCGGGAAGTGCCACGTGACGGGTGGAGAGCATGACCTATCTATGAGAGCCAGGCCCTGACCGGGAAAAAAAAGTGACAATGGTTATAAAAATTGAAGCATTCATTTACAAAAAAAGGAATCGCGTATAGGGCATTTAAAGGGAATAGTCAAAAGGACAGAAATGATGGCAAGATTAAGCAGGGGTGATAGTGAGCAACCACACCCCCCTGAGTAAAAAAAAAAAAAGAAGAGGATTCAGGGGGAAAATGGCATCTAACAACATTTCCCCCCCCCCCCTTTTGAGTAAGAAAAATTGGGAAATAATAGGGGAAAATAGGGAAGAATAGATAAAATCGGGAATAAACAGAAGGAAAAAAAAAATTGTAAAAAAATCAAAGAAAATCGGGAAGAAAAAAAAACGGTTAAAATTTTTTAAAAATCAGGAAACCGATTTAAATCCGGTTTTTATCTGGCGTGATTAATTCATAAGAAAGTACTTGTGCTATTCAAAATTAAGTCATTAATTCAGTATTATGAATCCATATTTTGACTAGACAGTATACCAACATGGAACCTTTTGAATATATAGCAAAATATTGTTTGGTGATTGGGTCCCTGGGTGAATAAGACCAAATGTTGATAATTATAACATTAGAAATGATAATAAAATACCTTCAGTTGTTGTTCAGTAGTAACCATACCCTCTGGTACACTCTGCTGCCAGACTTCTAGAAATTCAGTCAGATTGAACTGAAAGGAAAAATGTGAATAATAATAAATAAAAAGAGGAACTAATTTTGTCCACACATCCATCCCAGAGGATGATCAAGGCACCTACATGTACATAGTCTTAGCATTACCCTAGCTTTAGCCCCGATTTCCTAAAGCACTTCAAGAATTCAAGGAATAACTTTATATTGGATATCCATTTACGAAACCTTGGTGAAGAGTGGCAAATATAGATTAATATCTTGCCTAAGGACATAAGTGCTGTGCTGGGACTCGAACTGCAAACATATGTCATCCACAATCCAGCCTATGTTATATTTCACTCAATCATTGAGTTATTAATGTAAACATGTATTGAAATTATGGAAATAAAAACCTCGCTTGAGGATAAGAGGGAAAAAAAATCTACAATTCAGTGATGTTCCATTACACCATGATACCCCTACATGAAGGAAATAGAAGTTTTTCTATTTTTATTTTTTGATTTTTCTGCCTCCATACAAATGAAGTTATTACAAGGGTTGGATTAAACTGTTCACTATGCTCCAGTAACTTTCTGGTATCACTTTTCACCATCAACCAACACATACTGATTTCATTCATTTCTGTCATCTTATGGACAGATATCGACTCTATACACCAGATAAAGAGAGGAGAATTTACCTTATCGGCTGGTCTTAACAACATTTCTGCAAACAATCTGCAGACCTTGTCTGGGTCTAAACTGTACATGGCTTCTTCAGAACCTGTCAAAAGTAAATTTTAAAAATTTGGCTATTACAATTCTCGACAGTTTTTATGGTAATCCTTTAAAGGCATCATTTAACAATGTTCAATCTGAGATGCATGGCCCTATGTTTTATCAGTGTCTGTGACATGGTGTAATATTGAAGCCCTAACAAAATTGTGCTTCAAATGATTATGAAGTGCCTCAATAAAGTAAAAATATTTGAGTGACTGGTTTTACTATACTCATTTTACCGAATAGACAGTAGTGTTAAGAAAACTGTTAGGAAAACGCAAAATTTGATTTCGATTTTCAATCACAAATATCTTGATAATCAGATATGCGATTGGCTTGTGAAAGTCATGGGATTCATGTATGACCCAAAGGTTTATTAGTATGATTGCAGCATGAGCTAACTCAAGGATTTTTTTAAAGGATCTGAGACAAAGTTACTGGATCCCTTTAAGCCAGAAACTCGACTTCTCCGCAACCCACTTTCAAGGGTTTTCAAATTGATTTGAGTTGATTAGTTTTTTTATCAATGTTATTGTAATCAATTTAGATGTGTTTCCCGTCACCTACAGTACAGTTCATCGTCAGTATCATTATAACACATGGGAAAAATAAATGTTTACACATAAAGAGATCCTCCCCCCTCCCAAGTGACAACTCATCCAAATAAAATATGCTCTCTCTACGAAACTGTATGTACTCTATACCGAAGAAGAATTATCGATAAGAGTTGATGATGGAATTATCCCAGATATTTGAATATCTATAAAATGGTGCCTGGTTGAAATGCTCCACAGGGAGAATTCCTTGAAATGCTGTGAGCGTTGAAATCGGCAGCCTACATTTAGCATAGCCAGGTAATGTTGGAGCGCCTTGAGGACCTTGCAAGGTCGATACGTGAGCTAAATAAGAATCCAATATTATTATTATTATTATATACTGTGTGTGAGCATGGTAGGATGAGGGGATAAACAATGGATTATTTTTGTCAACGAGTACACTCAGTCAACTCTACACATGATTACAATAATAAGAATAATCTTGGTTATATTCAACACTGAATACATTGACAAAGACTCTATGCTTTTAAAAGATATATTGTTACCCCAGTCATCAGATTCAGGCTTGCCCAAACACAGAATATATGCTCATTCTCCACTCCCTGGGTAGCGTTTCACCCAGGCGCTATTCTATAGATGTTCACAATGCTGAGCAGACTGCAATGACTCGATCTCGCATCCTATCAGGTACCCATTTAACACCCGGGTGGAGAGTGGCGAACGTGAATTAATGTCTTGGCAAAGGGAAACTCTGACCTACAGATCCCCATCACATCAGGGGAGTGTTTAACAAAGACTAAGATCGACTTGAAGTTGGACTTAATTATGGCAGGCCGTTCATGCCACCAGTTCGTCTAACCCCTCCTGGCATTGGTTTCTCAAGGGACGTATAAATCGTGGTCACATATCTACAGAATTTACAATTGTTGATAGTTCATTATTGAAGGAAAAAATATTATCTAAAGATCATAATTAAGAGACCAATGGTGAGAGCAACCAGTGGCATGAATGGCCTTCCATAGTTAAGTCAAACTTAAAGTCGATCTTAATCTTTGTAAAAGGGCAATTCCACGGTAACGGAAGGACACTCAGACAAGATTTTTGAACTTCAGGTTCATACTAAAAGAACTGTTTTATTAGTATAAGATGTGAAACAGTACAGATATAATACCTATATAAGTGCCTTTAATTCTCCCCCAAAAAATTGTCATTATAGTTAAGTAGTTTAAGAATGTGCATATTAATTATCTCGGTAACGGAAGGACATAAAAATGGACATGGTTTTTCCAGTTAATTAGTGTTTATCCAAACTTTGTGAAGTTGATGAAGCTTTCCACTTGACTGAAACACATTTTGTTCCCCATAGTTTAATACATACTAATAAAACATTTCTTTTAGTATGAACCTGAAGTTCAAAAATCTTGTCTGAGTGTCCTTCCGTTACCGTGGAATTGCCCAAAACACTCCCCATATCTACAAGGGTTTGAACCTACCATCATCGTTTTTCCCTCTGGTAAAGTCTCCACAACATTTCAAACAATGTTCTAATATAGGCCTGCAGAAAGAAAAATCAGACAATTAATTGATTTATATTCCACTCCAGAGAAATCAAGAGAAGCACGTCATTTCTTTGAAAGTGGTCTTCAATCAAAGACTTAAAGAGAAGGTTGAGTTCTGGAAAGAGGTGAACAATAATTTGTGAGCGTTATCATTGTTATTATGCAAGTGTGGAAGAACATCAGATAACAAAATGATCCCTGAAAAGCATGGCTCTTCAAATGCCTTAATATTCTAAATATGGCACGTAACAGCATACAAATTGAGACAGAGTTTTATGCCACATGTTCGTGTAGTCCCATATACATATTTCTGTGTACAGTGCTTGTCACTTTAACAAGACTGGGACAAATTTCTTATCATTTTGATGATTCCAGAACCTTGCAGTACACACCAATACTTATATGCTAGATGAGCAACCTTTTCTGATCAATTCCACAGTTTCTTTCACAATGCAATCGCATGACCAGAACTCCACTTTATGTATTTTTCTTTTAAATGTGTAAATGAATGGCAACTGGGCATAACAAAGGCCTTACGTGTATCCACTTATTAGCTCTCTGTTATCAGATCCAGAAATGAGAAGCGTACTTTACGTGAAAAGAAAAGACGCCAATGATTTTGCCACCTTCCCCATTTTTATTTCTACTTCTATTCTATTGTATATATTAATCTAATTCTTTTTAAATCTTTTTCGTTTCTGTTCTTGGGTGATCTGTATTTAACAAGCTGTGTTTTTTTACGGACCACGTCTTTTCCACATTTTGAATGTGTTAAATAACTTTCTTGTTATTGTTCATGAATTTATTCTTTATTTATTCTTGTTGACGATGAACTTGTTGTTACTGTTCATGAATGTATTGTTTTCATGTCAGTGGAAAGAAAGAAATAAATCATGAATCTCTTGAAACAAGGCTTCAGATATCAGGGAAACGGCGTAAATATTCACAATTGAATGACACACGCCCTTAAAACTAAAACAACAACAACAACAACAACGGATAAAATAGGGGGCTTGATTGGCCCTATAAACTCTTGAAAAAAAAAATTGCCATCACGACTTTAGATTATTATCACCTTTAAAATAATTATCAAAATATAATGATAATACTAATGATAGGTTTTGAGGCACTGAATCTCTGTTCAAACACAACAGTATGAATTGTCATAGAAGGGGTGGTATCAGAAGACTTTGTTGGGTATTTTGTTTATCACAAGGCTAATCTGCCGCAAGATACATATGGTCAATTAAAAGTAGCTTCTTTGGCGAAGAAAATTCTTTCTACCCTGCCGGACAAGTATTTTTTATTTCTTACCTTGGTTCAAGATTTTCCAGGGTCGAGAGTGTTTCTTCCAACGGAACTTCATCGTAGGACCAGGAATTCTCTTGGACCAGGGATAGGATGTGAGTAAGGACCTGGGACTCGTAGTCAAAGTCTAGGACCCGCCAATGACCTACACCATTAAAACGAATTAATAATAACGTAGTTACAGGGTATGGGTGTGATGAAGAAAAAAACAGGCAGCACATGATTACAGGTTGGAACAATACAAGATATAACAAATTTATCTATGTGTATGCGCAAGTTCAAAACTATTTTTCAGAATGTACTTGAATAGAACTTATATAAATCACTAGGTCATATCAATTGAACCATAATATATATATAAAATATTTTTTCCTGTAACATGAGAGTAATTTTAATTGTTTAATTCTTTTAATTAAATGTATTGTTAATTGTTATTGTATAATTGTGTTAAATGGGGGCACACTACAAGAGTCCTATCTCACACCCCGGGGCAACGTGTCTGACACGGCTGGTTGTATCAACTACTCCGAAGATCAAGATACATTAATCTTGATCTAAGGAGGCATGAACGAACGAACTAGACTACTAGCTCACCATTTCACCATCAATAAGACAAGCTTTCATTGATATGAGCTCATCTCGTAACTCCCCCTCACGGGCCTGTACAATATCTAAGAGCATGTTCATGGGGTATCTCTTCCCAAAATTATACATTTTGTGATCGTGCAAGGTTTTTAAGCTACTAAACTACTAGCTAAGGATCTTATCCTCTCACCATCAATAAAACAAGCTTTCATCGATGTGAGCTCATCCCGTATCTCCCCTTCACTGGCCTCTACAATATCTAAGAGCATGTTCATCGTTTATCTCTTCCCAAAATTATACATTTTGCGATCGTGACGAGTCCTTTTGAGCTACTACATTTCACTACACTACTAGCTAAGAATGCTATCATCTCACCATCGATAAGACAAGCTTTCATCGATGTGAGCTCATCTCGCATCTCCCCCTCACTGGGTTGTACAATATCTAACAGCATGTTCATTGTGTATCTCTTCCCAAATTATACATTTTGCGATCGTGACGAGTCCTTTTGAGCTACTACATTTCACTACACTACTAGCTAAGAATGCTATCATCTCACCATCAATAAGACAAGCTTTCATCGATGTGATCTCATCCCGTATCTCCCCTTCACTGGCCTCTACAATATCTAAGAGCATGTTCGTCGTTTATCTCTTCCCAAAATTATACATTTTGCGATCGTGACGAGTCCTTTTGAGCTACTACATTTCGCTACACTACTCGCTAAGAATGCTATCCCTCACCATCGATAAGACAAGCTTTCATTGATGTGAGCTCATCTCGCATCTCCCCCTCACTGGGTTGTACAATATCTAAGAGCATGTTCATCGTGTATCTCTTCCCAAAATTATACATTTTGCGATCGTGACGAGTCCTTTTGAGCTACTACATTTCACTACACTACTAGCTAAGAATGCTATCATCTCACCATCGATAAGACAAGCTTTCATCGATGTGATCTCATCTCGCATCTCCCCCTCACTGGGTTGTACAATATCTAACAGCATGTTCATCGTGTATCTCTTCCCAAATTATACATTTTGCGATCACTACACTACTCGCTAAGAATGCTATCCCTCACCATCAATAAGACAAGCTTTCATCGATATGAGCCTATCTCGTACATGTATGTACCCTTCACGGGCCTGTACAATATCTAACAGCATATTCATCATGAATCTCTTTCCAAAATTATACATTTGAGCTACTACACTACTAGTAATAGGATTTTAACCTCTCACCATCAATAAGACAAGCTTTTATCGATATGAGCTCATCGCGTATCTCCCCTTCACTGGCCTGTACAATATCTAAGAGCATGTCCATGGTGTATCTCTTGCCTGAGTGCTCAGGAGTATCCTCGTAAATGGATCCAGCAAAGGGGTTCTCCTTCAAGAGCATCTGGAGCTTCTTCAGTCGTGGCCTGAGAGGGCGTAGTTCAAGGTACGAATGCGAGACACCTGTAACCTAGGTAAGAAGAGGATGTTATTTTTACAATTGTTATATAATAATTTCCTCTCTTTATTGTTTTAGACCAGCACAGATCATTCCAGATACCCATTCCCCTTTACGACTCGAGAACCGGATGTCTGAGTTGGAGAAACAGTCGGATAACCGAATAACCGGTTTAGCAAAGAGCTTCGATAGTCGGATGTCAGGTTTGGTTAAAAGTTTGAATAGCCAGATCTCCAGGTTTTTCTCACGGCCGGATATCCGGATATCCAAACTGGAAGTCATTTTCCAAACTGGAAAGCAAATTATGTATATAGCTTGAGGTATGAACAATTATGAAAACTTTATTTGTTATCATTTTAATTGTACATGTATATGATCATTCCTGTTTTTATACACATTTTAAGTAAACATTGCATTATTGGTCCTTGGACTACTGCATTGTACATTGTATATGTTGATATTAATAGACCAAAATTGAATTGAATTGAGTTGAATATACAGTCGAACCTGTTTTAGCGGCCACCTCTCTATAAAGGCTACCTGTTTATAGTGGTCACATGTATTGCCTCCCTTGAGGAAAAAACAAGTGTTGAAGAACCTGTCTATAAAGACCACCTGTCTACAGTGGTCACTTTTTGTGTTCCTTTGGGTGACCTTAATAGAAAGTTTGACTGAACTATGTGTAAATCTATCTAGTCTAACATGTTTCAATGGAAGATGTGTCTTGGTATATTGCAGGATCAGTAAGTGAACTGTGAATCAAATTATACATGGTATTACTCATACAAAAAAAGTGTTTCATTCTCTGTTAACTTTCTTCAAACAAATGTCTGGAGAGTGATATGAATGTATTGAACACTTCATACATACAATTAGGTTCGCGATATTAAAGTAAATCATGCCTAATTAGCTAGTTTAATGCAAATTAATATTTTAACTTTACAAAGAAACAGTGAAGAATTAATAGGCTATTATCGGAACGTAACCAAATTTGTAATTCATGTACGTCTTTGTAAAGTGCCTCAATACAAATTATTTTATTCACCCGTTACAAAAAATTGTAAACATGATAGTAAAAATGCAAATTGCATAGAATATATGTTGCTCTATCAGACAAACATTATGGCTTGCCTAATACCTTACAACACATAATATATGCAGTTTGCATTCTGAGTACTGAAATACAACAGGAGAATGAAATAATATGAATCAAGGCACTTCAGAAAGACGTGTGCATTCAATTTGGTTAAATTACAAAAATAGCCTATTATGCAAGCACACACAAATTATTACTTGTGATGCACAATTTATATGTCTCAAATATTGTCTATACTCACTCTTTTTTGATGCAATCTGTTTTCACCGCTTGGCAAGTTGTCTTTTGTGAAACAGTCTTTGAGTACCAGGAGTGTATTGGATGTTTCTGCTACTTTGAGATCGTACGTCTTACTGTCTGTGCACAGAACAGCATGATCCGTCTTGTCCCCTCGAATGATGAGTCTGTCAAAAAAGATGAAGGACAATAATTTTAACGAAGAGAGGCACTCAGATTACTATTACTATTAATCTTCTAGTTTTGAGATCGTACGTCTTACTGCCTGTGCACAGAACAGCATGATCTGTCTTGTCCCCTCGAATGATAAGTCTGTGAAAAAAGATGTAAGACAATAATCGATCTTGTCTTGTCAATTTCTGATAAATACGAATATGTAAGCATGACCCTAACATCTTTTTCTTTTTTATTTATTTTCATAGTCTAGCCCCCTCTCCTCCTCTTCCTTTAACTTCTATTTCTTGTTCTTCTTTTTCTTACGAATATGACAGTGTATCTCTAACATCTGTAGTCTTCTCTTCGTTAGTCTTCTTTCATGTCTCCTCCTCATTCTCCCCCTCCCCCTCTCCCCCTCCCCCTCCTCCCCCTCCCCTCCTCCCCTCCCCCTCCCCTCCCTCCTCATCCTCATCCTCCTCCTCCTCCTCCTCCTCCTCCTCCTCCTCCTCCTCCTCCTCCTCCTCATCCTTCTTCTTCATCTGTTTCTTATTAGGAATATGTAAGTTTAACCCTTAACACAATTCTAGTAATAAACATATAGACCAGGGCTGCTATAGACCTAGACCGAAAGCTTCAGTCTCTATAATCGTCGGTTGTTCCACTGAGACTAGGTCTGGCTCCACTAGACCTCCGGTTATAGAGACTGAACGACTGCCTATGCCAGCCTGTGTTGAACTTATTCCGCTAGATTTTAGCCGCTAGGCCCCTCCCACAAACTTGCCACGGCCGTATTGTTATGCCCCCAAAATCCCCCAAAATGTCATTTTACCTCGTTCATTTCCAATTTTAAATTAGGCCTAGGCTATAATACATCGGTTCCACTTACTAACTTGATTGATATAATCCGTTTAATGGTCCCTTTTAAGGAAATTATCGGTCAAAATCGACATCCATGTTGAAAATCTTGCAAGCCGTGTTAAACTCTCACTGCCGTCAATCTCATCCCTTCTAGTCTACGCCGAAGGCAAAATGATTATGAAGGAAAAACTGTGATAACGCCATTACGAACGTGTAGATGGCGCACAGTTTTTCCTTCATAATCATTTTGCCTTCGGCGTAGACTAGAAGGGATGAGATTGACGGCAGTGAGAGTTTAACACGGCTTGCAAGATTTTCAACATGGATGTCGATTTTGACCGATAATTTCCTTAAAAGGGACCATTAAACGGATTATATCAATCAAGTTAGTAAGTGGAACCGATGTATTATAGCCTAGGCCTAATTTAAAATTGGAAATGAACGAGGTAAAATGACATTTTGGGGGATTTTGGGGGCATAACAATACGGCCGTGGCAAGTTTGTGGGAGGGGCCTAGCGGCTAAAATCTAGCGGAATAAGTTCAACACAGGCTGGCATAGGCAGTCGTTCAGTCTCTATAACCGGAGGTCTAGTGGAGCCAGACGTAGTCTCAGTGGAACAACCGACGATTATAGAGACTGAAGCTTTCGGTCTACTATAGACCCATAAACCAAAAGATAAATTGATTCCAAATAAAAGCAACACTCAATAACTTCTCTGAGGGTGAGGGACTGGTACTTAATAACTGACCTTTGACCTTCAACAACGCACTTCAGAATGGTACTGTCGACCTCAAGTAACCTCATAGACGCTGGGTTCAACTCCTCACCAAAGTAGATACACTGCGGATGCCCCGCCAGGTCGCTCAGTTCTAGCTTGGCGTGGCTAGCTATGGAGTGTACTTCATCTAGCATCCTGGAATTTTTTAAAGATAAAATCAAAAGGAAGGGTGAGAGTGTTTTTCGCAGAGCAGCCCCTAAACTGTGGAACAGGTTAGAGATTGAGGTGTGGGATACCCCTAATTCTCTGGATATCTTCAATTCTACACTGAGTGAAGACGACAACTAGACTCTAAACCATGCAATTACCTTAAGTTGTAGACATCTGTTAACTTATGTGATCCATCATAGTAGTACATGTATTGTTTACTTCTCTATGCCCCGCTATTGTTCTTTCGTTATATTTTGTCTAGAGGTCTAGACTCTAATTTATACAACAATTTAAAGAATTCTATTATTTTGTTGAATTTTTGTCATTCTTCAATTCTTCATTTATTTCTTTAATCATGTAAGATAGACTACTCTTTTGATTGATTTGACAAATTGATGTAAAGCATTTAGAAAGATTGTATCAAGCACTAGATAGTCTATCTATAGGCCTAGATGATTTATGGTATAGGTCTAGACCTAGATCTAGATCTAGGTATTTTGGGGACCCTGTTTCTATCCCTTTTTAATCCCATTTTACCATTTACGAATTGAAAATGATGTCATAGAAGTATATTATATAATTCTCATTGTTTGGCGCCTTTTTAGTCTTCTTCTTCTACAATCTAGTTCTGCTTTGCCCCCCCCCCCCCCCCCCACCCACATACATCTACTCCCCTTCCACTAGCTGTAGGCCTCCTCTTCCTCCTCCTTCTTCTTCCTTCCTCTTCTGCTTTTTCATTGTCTTTTTTGATGTCGTTTCCCCTCTCTTCCTCCTCCTCCTTCTTTTCAATTATCTGTCCTCTTTTTCTCCTTTTTCTTCCCCTTCTTCCTCAATTATGCAGCTGTGCAGTGCAGTATAGCCTATACCTTATGAGACTCAACTTCTCATTCTCAAGAGTTGAGATCAGATTCAGACAAGACACAATTAACTCACACAAATCACAGACACAGACACAACTCACACAAGTCACATTTTTGTTTTAGAATTAAGAAACAAAAACATAGACCTAGGGTCTATAAGACAAACGTTTTAAAGGTGTGAACATGAAAGACAAATCAGCAAGTTCAGATTTCTTTTTTCCTCACCTTTCATCATCAATATCCATGATGATATCAGCATCAAATAAACCCCTAGTCTAATAAATAAAGATGAAACATAAAAGTTGGCTCTCAATCCCTGTCACAGTGGCAGTGTATTGAAATTGAAAACAAACCAGCGCGCGCTTGAAACCGGAAGAGCATGCAATCTGTGCTGAAGTTGGTAGAAAATAAAATACGAACACGCGACCGTCAATCTAACGATCTTAATTTGATCTCTCTCTCTCTGTTGTTGTCCCTCCGCTTTTCGGAGATCAGCGAGTATATCGCATTCGAAGTAGTAGGCTGCTGTAAATATGTTATAAAATCCTTAGTTGGAGGGTATGGATCACTGATCAGTGGTTTGATACTTTCAATACTGCTAACTTCGATCAACACAAATAATGTGCAGTGCAGTGGCAGTGTGTATTTAATACCAATGCACTGAACATGTCTTTAGAGATGCTACTTTGCATTTGTATCTATTTTACATTTTCTAATTCTTACATTTTTCTAAAGCCCTCAAAATTCAAAGATACTCATTTTTTATGGACAGATATGTTTTATCCATAGAAATATATAGCTCTATGGTTTCATCGTAAACATCCTAATCATTGTTTTGTAGCAGATTATCAAATTGGCTAATATTTATATTCAGCTAGGATTTGTGGTAATCCTGTGCAAAGCTCATAAATCTAGGCTTAAGTCGAGGAAAATATGTTGTTTTGATAATTCATAATCGAATTTTGTAGCCACTTTATCTTTCTAAAATAACAAATTATATCATTTTATTGTTGTTTATAATAAACTAGGCTTCAGAAAACTTCATGAATAAGAATGATTTTCAAATTTCTGAATTTTCTTTTTTTTATGTCGAAAATAGCCTGAGCCGCACCCTTACATCGAAGACTAGACTAAGTTACTAAGTATCCCATCTCAGCTCCGTATGCCTTGACAGTAAAGCTTCTATCAACATTCGTCAGAAAAAAGGAGCATGGTTTTCTACTTCACCAGCAATGGTAATTCACATGTAGTAGATACTATTGTTTTATAATTCATAATGAATTTTGAATGCTTAATTTTATATTCTAGCCATGCTTCAAGCCTTCAACTCGAATCGAATCAATGCCTACCTGCCTACCATGATCATGTTGTAAATTGCATGACACAGCTCGGTCACAGACACTTGTTACAGTCTGACTCTGCACTGACTGAGAGTCTGACTGATTCATCACTCATTATTCTCATGTTATGACCTGGCTGAGGCTCTGAGTCTGGCGTCTTTTGTGGTGATAAACATGATGAGATATGTGATGTGTGTAACTTAAATCAGATCTAGAGTCTAGAATGATTATGAATGACATTTTGGTAGACTAATTCTCTGGATTCTGCCCAAAGTAGAAAAAGATCCTGAATCGATGAAAACAAGGAGGGCAGTGGAGTGGGGCCCTGCCGCGCTGGTCCAAGAATAAAGACCATCCGCATAAACAAGAATATATTTGATGTAATGCAGACAAATCGCGTCCTGGCTTAAGAATAAGGATCGTCCGCATTTTTTTCGCAGACATCTTTTTTCTTCGCCGCTATGCGGGTGTTGAGCGATCGGCGCGCTAGCAATGTGAAAAACGTATTCTGCGAAATAAAATATCCCCAATTCACAGTCTATTCTACTTTTATTACGAGTTGTCCGTCTTCCCGAGGATCTATCACTCATAACATGAAATTTGTTTACTCAACACAAAACAATAAAGAGTGGGGGTTATAACAAGGGTACAAACATCTCCACCACCTTTTAAATTCATCCGGATCCCAGGCTCCATCATCCCCCAAACTTGACCTTTTTTTTTCTCTTGTTTTCAGTTTGAATTTTTTTTTTTTTCAGAATGTTACTGGGAGGTAATTTCTATTCTATTATTTTATTTCATGTTCAATAATTTTGTTATCCTTTGTGGCATTGTGCTTGATTGGACCCCTGGCGCTAGTGTACTTTCAAGGAAGTACACTTCATTCAATCACATGCACTTTGTTTCCTCACCCCCTCTCTATAGACTCTATATACGCATACCTTGCATGTGATAGAACGAGGCACGCCAGGTTAGAAAGTACAATCACGCCAGATCCCACTCCCCCCCCCCCCCTTCTCTTGCCCTTTCACAAAATCATGGAGCCCAACCCCCACCCCCCCCCCCCCTGTAAACTTGATGATATTTATTATTCTGCATATTTCTTGTTCTCTTTACAGTGGTGTCACCACCAACATACACTATCTACATGGGATTAGATAAGTATGAGAGTAAGTAGATTTAGTTTCTATAAAGAAACTCTATTTCTAATATGGGAATATGGGAATAGACCAATTGGTAGTAGACGAACTAGTTGTAGACCAAATGGTGATAAACCCTTCCTGTTTGTTTAGACAACATCTTGTGAGATACATGTAAATGTTCTGGTAAATTTGTGATATTGAAGTTTGAAGTTTTATTTATTCCACATTTTACATAAAAAAACAGTTTATATTCTTTTCTGTTTTATACAGGCGTATATTATGATAAGAATAGATTTCACACAAGAAAAAAAAAGAAGAAAAAAATTGAAGATTTCAAATCAAATATAATGTACGGAAAATAAGTATGAAATTTTGAAATACATGTATGTATATATTGCATTAAGTTATTAGTTTTTCTTTGCTTACGATGTAAATTTTCAGATTAATCAAACAAGGGCCTACCATGAATAACATCAAATAAATTCTAACTTGATGCATTCACTGTCATGTTTTCTTTTTAGACGAGGATCTTATTAAATATGGTTTTCCAGAAGATATCTGGTAAGTTCCTGTTAATAAATACAAACAGTAATAATACCAGAAATGCATGCATTTCATTATAAACAGCACCATTCACCATTTAGGGCTCATACCAGTATCAAGATTTACAAGTTTGTAAATGATGTTAAAAGTGACTTAAACTTACAGAACCCAAATTCGACTTGTGTTCTTTGTGACTGTGTGCAGTATTTTTATGTTATCTTTGACATTTTCATACCCTGTAACCATTTACCATACCCAATGACCCATATAATGCAGGGTAATTACTTTATTGTAATACATTCAAACCTGTCTATAAAGACCACCCAAGGGAATCAGAAAAAAGTGGCCACTGTGGACAGATTCTACAATAAACATTTCTCTCTCATGGGAGACAAAATGCATGGCCTCCATAGACAGGTGGTCTTTATAGAGAGGGGGTCGCTAATACAGGTTTGACTGTACTTTGGTCATTTTTGTAATTATTATTATTTAGGCATACATGTATCTCACCAGGTTTCCAATGACACCAGAAATCGAAATCGTCTTTGTGTGTTATAGTTTTGTGATTCCTAAGAAGTTGCCATGCCTTCAGGCTTACCTTATGTGGCAACCCTTCTTCATGATTATTTAATGTTAGTATTAAAACGCAAGTATTTACGTTGATGATGTATTAATCATATGATTTGTTTATGATCATTATTTTTTTTTGTAATTAGCTTGTAACTTTGGAAAAGACCATGAAGAGATATAAATCAATCAAATCATATAATATTATTGTTTTCTTAAACTATCTGGTATCTCCCATTCTAATGTAGGTTTCACGTCGACAAGTTATCATCAGCTCACGTGTATCTGAGGCTAAAGAAGGGAGAGACGATCCATGACATCCCTGGTCCTGTCATACAAGACTGTGCGCAGCTAGTTAAGGCCAATAGTATACAAGGTAAGGACTTCAATGTTCTACACCCTAATTCACCGGTGTCTTCGACCCACACCCCTTCAACCCCACCTACCCCCCCCCCCCCCCCCCCCAAACAAAAGGGGTGAGAATTTCCTTTTGCCAAGCACCTGATTTGAAAGAGCTGGTACCAATCCAAATGCCATGTTCAACGAATATAATGACATCCTTACTTCTGTCTTCCAAGACTGTGCGCAGCTGGCCAAGGCCAATAGTAGTTAGTATACAATGCTAAAGGACATCAATGTTCTGCACCTTCATTAACCAATGTCTTTTATCAATTAGCCTTCCCCTCCCCAATATCTTCTATTACCATGCGCCTGACTTGAAAGAGCTCGGAACTTTATTATAAAACATTGCGATTGATTCAATTCAATCGCAACTCTTTATAAGACAAGGCTCCAGTTTCAATTCAAATCTTTTTTCAGTGAAAATTATGATATTCCTAGTCCTTGTCAAGGGCAGTAGTAAGTCAAAGTAAGTAACAAATCGTCTGTTTGGGCTAGAAGGGTGTTAATTTGTATACTGTTTTACAGAGTTAACACTAACCCTGTAAGTTGGGGCTCTGATCGGATCGGAAGATCGGAGCGACACCCTCGCACCTATGATCGGTATCGGATCGGAAGATCGACAACAAAAAATTGGCTGATTTTTTTTTTTTTTTCTTCAAGTTTTTGGCTATCAAATGCTCAAAAAAAATTCATCGCTGCAGGGAATAATTTTCCTGGTATCGCATCGCAATTTGCTATGCATTTTTGCATGACTGCTATACAAAATATCTTTTGTGTAGCAGTTTTCTTCCATAGAAATGTACAGAATTTCATTTGAAATATTTATCCATCGGCTGAAATTGCTAATCAAAAAATTTGAGGAAAATTATTCCCTGTCGCTGGGTTTATTTTGCCGATTTTTTTCCGATCATTTTTATTGATCGGCGATCGGAAATTATTATCCGATCACCCCTGATCGGATCGGTATCGGCGTCCGATCCGATGATCATTTACAGGGTTAGTTAACACCCTTCTGGCTCTCAACAGACAAACTGCTCTAGAGTCTCTAGACCCCTGTTAGTGTTATGCCCAAAGTAGTGTTTCGATCAGGCTTAAAGCGGGCCTCAGACCCCAGCAGGATGAGGTCCGAGTCCCGCCGCCAGCATATTCTTGGTGTAGCAGGGGTCATCTATGTTCACCATTAAAGATACTATAATACTAATAATAATAATAGTGGACTTTTATAATGCGCCATGTCTGTCAAAAATGACACTCCTAGTGCAGTTGTGTGGAAATTGTATAATTGTGGGCATACGACCATCAAGTAATTCAAGAAAAAAAGTAAAATACACATAATTTAAAGTTTAACATACTTCAGGACATAATTTGCAATAATAGAATAATACAATACAAAGCATATTACAGTATTAAATAAAAGTTCTATAACGGTAGTACAATGTCCCTTTTGCAGCCAACATCAAATTCTGTAGAACTTTGCAGGAATTATGAATATGTCATGTACGTCTTATCTGTGAAATTTAAACGTTAGCAGTGTCCTAATTTTCAAATTATGCAAGGAAATCTGTTTACTTTCGAGACTTCCCTGTCAGACACTATTGAGTGACTGACTAACATCCTTTTTTCATTAGTAATAACATACATAAACAGAGCTGTAACAGAGCATAATTTGTCTACATCAATAACCCACTACTTGTAATGGCCAAAATCAAACTGCTTGAATCTTTGTGCAGCACTAAACGTACAACCATTCGGTACAAGGGTCTGAAAATCAGACTATTACTTAGGTGATTGCAATCACTTATGTCGATTCGACAACTAACAGTCGTTCTTTTCCCACATTTTCAAACCCTTTCCTTTTGAGGGAAGTTCTAAATAAGTATTGTCTTTCAAATGCAGTTGGAATTTAAACTTTTAATTTTTTGACCTGCAAATGGGACATAGTACCTTTATAGTAAGAAGAATATGTACTGTTGCAGTGTTGCTACTTCACTATAGTCCCATACCATCAATTTCACATTCATTTTACTTTTATTTCTAACAGGGTGCAAAATGAACAACATTGCTGTAGTATACACACCATGGGCCAATCTAAAGAAAACTGGAGATATGGATGTCGGTCAGATCGGCTTCTGGAAACACAAAGAGGTGAATTTCATTCTTTATAACATGTTCCTTTAAAGGCCGTCTGAACTTGTTTGGCTAGGAGGGATTAGACCACCCAGGAAGGTCACTGACAGTTGGATATCTCATCAACTCAGCTCTCAATTAACATAAAAAAAAGAGGATCATGGGGGACCAATGGTCACCGATTACGCATTGTTTTCTATATAGAGGGATCAAGTAGCTACAAGTAGGACAGTGGGCCTTTAAATGCTGAATTGGCAAGGCTTTAATTTACCTCTGCCTCTCATAATCCAGGTGTAGTAAGGGGTAGCCAGCATTTGTTTTCCCCCATTTTTTATTATAAATTGTTGATAATGGTAAGGTTTAGAAATGAAAATTGGAATTGGAAGTATTAAACTGACATTCTGTTATACACTGCTGAAAATCACAGTTCAAAGCACTGGTCACATATTAGACTACATGTTGCTACAAATATATGTGGCATCTAAATTTGGCCAGAAATCTTTACTGGGTAAATTATTAAATCATATTTAAATTGTGAGAATAACAAGAGCAAATCTCTTTATGTCACACTGCTACTATACATGTATGTATAATCACAACTTCTGAATTGGAAGTTTTGGGAAATAATAAATAAGTTCATGAATGAATTGTAACCTTGAGCATTACTCAAATTTTCTTTGATATTCCTCTAGGTGCACACAGTAACAGTAGAGAAGAAAGCCAACGAGATCGTGAACAGACTCAACAAGACAAAGGAGGAGAGAAAGCCGGATCTGAGGCTTGAGAGGGAATCTAGGGATAGAGAGGAGCGAAACGAAAACAAAAAGAAAATGGCGGAGAGGAGAAAACAAGAAGACGAAGAAATACAGAGGCAAAAGGCAGATAAGGAATTAAGGTTTGTAAATTGATTGTTGAGAGTTTGTTTTGTGTGAATTCATTACAGGCTCAATTTACTATATAATATTCAGAAACACTTCCAACATTTAAAATTACAAGAATAAAACGGTTTACTAACATATTCAAATTTATGGATGGTTTTTTCCTGGCGACGTAGCGACAAGTTATTCCATTAAAGGAACTATGTCCCTTTTGCAGCCAACCTGAAATTCTGTAGAACTTTGCAGGAATTATGAATTTGTCATGTATGTCCTATCTGTGAAATTTAAACGTTAGCAGTGTCCTCATATTCAAATTATGTAAGGAAACCCGTTTACTTGCTAGACTTCACTGTCAGACACTATTGAGTGACTGACTGGCTTGTTTTTCTTCTTTGGTAATAACATACATGAAAAGAGTTGTAAAGGGTACATGAGCATTTGTCTTCATCAATAACCCACTTCTTGTGATGGCCAAGATTAAACTGATTGAATCTTTGCGCAGCATAAAACGTATGACCATTCGGTACAATTGCAGAAAATCAAGATTATTACTTTTGGGCTCTATAGCCCTAAAGTCGATTTGACATCTAATAGTCGTTATTTTTCCACTTGAAGACATTTTTAAGTCCCACCTTTTTTAGGGAAGTTCTAAATTAGTATTATCTTTCAAATGCAGTTGGAATTTAACTTTTTCATTTTTTTGGCCTGCAAATGGGACATAGTACCTTTAACCTGTTATTCATTCATTTATTACAATGCTCTGAATACAGTTTGCATGTTACTTTTGCTACACCGGGCAAGCTACCAGGTTGTCAAGAACAATATTTGTATAAAAATTATGCATGAAATTTGAATATGTTAGTAAACCAGTATAATGCATGGATGCCTTATGATATTACATATATCTTAGTTAATAGTGTGGAGCTTGCTTTACAGATGTTGTCACTAATGATGAGTCTAAATGACCCGAATTCATAAAGGAGGTTTGTCGACAAACCTAGGTTAATGTGCGTCAAATGACGCGTTTCAAACCAAGGTTTGTACAAACCTACGTAAAACCTTGGTTTGAAACGCGTCGAAACTTGACTCCATATTCAGGTGTACTGCACATTCCATGATTACATAATCTTTACAAATGGGGCATCGTTGTAAAGGGGAATAAACAGGCTTTTCAATGATACCAATGTCAATCATGATAATATTCTTACATGAGAGATATATAAACACTAATGCTTGAATTGCATTTTTTTTTAAAGTGGTTTATTTTTTAAGTCAACTCAATTTCATTGTATCGTTCTGATTGTCTTTCCTGATAGGAACTACACCTCACTCATGAAGGAGGAGAATATGACATCCAACGCTGAAAACACTGTAGAAGACTTGGAGGATGACTTCATGTGATATTCAGCACCATTTGGAAGATTAGAGAACCTTTTTTAATGAAAATGGATATCTTTTCTTCTCCAAGAACTGACATTACGCTCTATGGGACGTACGTGAACTGATGCACTGGTTGTGTGAAATCAAGAGAATTCCTTTAGAGGCTTTGGTAAATTTGATTCCAACTTCCTATATAACGATAAGAATGATGATGGCGGCTTCTTATACAGCGCTCATGCCCATCACGCCGTCACTCCTGGAACTGCAGCATTATTATTCCAGTCATATTAGAACGGCTGTATGTCTCTTCAAGGCTATCTGCATGTGATTCAACGGCGTTGTCAAAACGATAATTAAGAGGAAGGATCCAGGATTTACTTGGAGGACCCGAGTGCAGAAAGTCATCATGATTATACAGAGATATATAACTTGCATGAAAACTTTTATTTTCATTTATAGCTCTCTTCTAGATGCAAGCATATTTGTTTCTAGATCTAGAAAATTAATTCTATATACCGGTACATGTACTGTAACCCTCTCTGGGCCACCTGCTTTTTTGGAATATATGGTCTAGTGGTTTATTCACTTGACTCTCAATCCAAGGGTTGCTGGTTCAAATCTCAGCCCGGCACTAATGTCCTTTGGCAAGAACATTAATCCATGTTTAGCACTCTCCGACCAGGTGTAAATGGGTACCTGGCAATCGCTGGGATAATAATAATTACAGGGCCCTAAGGAAGAACAGCATTGAAGCTGACGAGGCATTCCTGGGTACCGGTAAAGAAAATCAATATTTATTTATTATTTTATAAAATGAAATGTATCGTTTTGCAGATCGGAGGATGAATAAATAAATCAGAATTATTGGAATGACCTAGCGAGAAAACAAGCATTTTGTTTTATTACCAGTGAATGTAATTTTCCCAAGGCCTCAACGCATACTGTGTTTGCGCCCCCTATTGGTAAGGCTTGGCCAGTTGCAATGACCTGCTGTTTTGATGATAGCAGAAGGTTGATATTGATCCCAACTAAAATACAATGTATTAATAATGAGAAAGATTCACTTAAATTTTAAAACTTGGCATATCTGTATACAATAAATGGCATTAAAATGTAACTTAATATTGAATCTGTGATATTTTTTTTCCTTGAATCTGTAGTGTATCCAAATAAAGGATGAAGAAAATGTCATGATTTTTCCCCTCCCCAGAGAAAATATATTTCAAAATATTATTAATTTCATCTTGTTTGTCTTCAATAGGCTGCGTTGCAATGTTGTTTATGTACGATTGTGCCACTGTTCACGCTCCACTGTTGTCTATACAGTGTGTCCCGAAAAAAACTATACACTTTTGAAATGGCTGCCGAATAACAAATATATGATTCTAGGGGGAAAAGTTATATATATATGGAAAGCTCATATACTCAACTTTCATATGACATCAAAAGTTGCGAAAATAATTCATGCTCGGGTGAGCACTGGTCACTTTTGTAAAGGGTATGAAAATTTGGTTGCGCAGGAATTAGCCTTCCAATTTGTGAGAGGTAAATCCTTTGGAGCTTACCGAATTGAGGATGATATGACCAATTTATGATCAATTGTGATAAGTTTGGGTTTGCTGAGTGAAATGTTTGGTTTATGGGATTAACATTTTATGCATGAGTTAACAGGAATTGCATTTTTTATTGTGGCACTGTAACTTCCCTGGTAGACTCAGTGGTGTGTTCATGGGAGTCAGGATGGGGTGATGGTACATGTTGTAATTTCCATGTTACAAACTGTTATTCTCTTACATCTGTGACTTTGAATAAAAACCTTCACCCCACATTTCAATTATTGTAAGATTAGTTGAACATCTCATTGATTTACTCAATACCCAGGTAGGGATAATGTAAATTGAATATTCAAATACGGTTTGTTGACAAAAGGAACGTCCAAGATGTCGGCTACTTATTCTTCAGGTAAATGGTAACTGAAATGTGGGGTGAAGGTTTTTATTTAAAGTCACAAATGTAAAAAATAACAGTTTGTAACATGGAAATTACAACATGTACCATCACCCCATCCGGACTCTCATGAACACACCACTGAGTCTACCAGGGAAAGTTACAATGCTACAATAGACAAATAAATTCCTGTTCCGTGCATAAAAGTTTGGTTTAATAAACCATGAAATTCACTCAGCAAATCATGAATGTATCATATCACCCTCAATTCGTTAAGCTCCAAAGGATTTACCTCTCACAAATTGGAAGGCTAATTCCTGCGCAACCTAATTTCCATACCCTTTACAAAAGTGACCAGTACTCACCCAAGCATGAATTATTTTCAAACTTTTTGGTGTCATATGAAAGTTGAGTTTATGAGCTTTCCATATATATACAAATTTTCCCCCTAGAATCATATATTTGTTATTCGGCAGCCATTTCAAAAGTGTATAGTTTTTTTCGGGACACACTGTATATGCAAATAAAGCTCAAACATGAATACTGACGGTACATACAAAATAGTGATGCTCAAAGAGCTTCTTTTCAGCCATGAGAATCCGTAAATGTATTTGCGACAGTTAGAAAAGACTTTTGAATGGCATGGTCTCCATAAACAATCACTCTTGCAGAAATGAGGTGTTTGAAGCTCAATTTATAAATGTTATATCTTAGAATCAGAAAAGAAAATTCCCTGCCCCTGGTAAAATCGAAGAGAATCATCAGAGAAATATAGAGCAAGTAAAGGAATAAACTTGGGGCTAGGGAAAGAGATGTTTGGATTAACAGAATGACAAAGAAGAGTACATGTAGCAGAAAGATATAGATGAATACAAAAATATATACAAAATATATATAAAATATGTAAATATTGGTTAGAGAGCGAGAAAGAGAGATAGAGAGGGAGTGAAAAACAAAGAACTTAAATTTTAAAAAACAGTCTAAACCAGAGTAGAGTCATCTTTTTTTTTCAACCTTTTTATAGTCACGGCACCCTTTTGAGAAATAAACTAATTTTGTGTCTCCCAAATTACTGATTCACTACAGAATATTAATGTTACGAGTGAGGGAGGATTAAAAAAAGACCCTCAAATGTCTTTAAAATGTTATTTCTTCATAAAAAAACAAAGCGGCTCGTGATATTTCGTTTTCATAATAGATCCAAAAATAGATACATGTATTGATATAATTTCTATCGCTGCAGCGCCAGCGGCACACTGGTTGTAAAAAGCCGATCTAGAGAGTCCCATCGAGATGCAGGAGTCCGAGTAAGCTGAATAGATTTTAAAGAGGTTGTTATTTGGCAACCATAAAACCACCTTCTCCATCTTTTCTCACGTCATCGCTTTTTCTCCCATTTTGTTTCTTTTAATCATTTGTATCCTTACTTTTGATAATTTAATCTCTACCATTCTCCCTTTCATCGTTTGTTCTCTGTCAATCAATAAATTCTATCATTTTCCTTCCACTTCAGATCCCAATCAACTTTCTCAATCGTATTCATCAATTTACCATTTAGTTCAGATTCATCACAAAGTTTCATGCCACAACAAAGACCGACTTGCTGAAAAAATAGCCGTCATTTAAGGTTCCTTAGTAAAATGTAGTGGAATGTAAAATATACAATTGCCAACGATCATAATTTTGCCACAGAGGTAGAACCTTATCGTTGGGATATACAGCTGGTAAATGCATAATACCATTCTGAAGGGGCTTACTTTCATTTAGATGTCACAATTTTTTTTATTTAACAGACATCCAACTAATGAATTTTGCATTCCAGACACGTCTTACTGTGCGATGATATTTCGTTAAGCTACCCTTGAATTTGTGTGCATCTGGTGTTACAGTATTGACCGGGAACCCGTTTCACAAGGCCTTTTCTCAATGACAAAACTCAGTGACAAATCTGCTGATAACCTATCAGAAGCAAGGGTTTCAGTAGCTTATAACAAAAACTATCATTTGTCACTGATGACAAGTTTTGTGAAAAGGGGCCCAGATCTAGTGCTCGCACGTGAAACAGAAGTAGATCATTTCAAAATAACACTAGCTTTACAGTCGCTTATATCACAAGCCCATTCTGTCTTATTTCACACACTTTTTTTTTTTTTCCCTTTAAGTATTTGTATTAAGTTTTCGACTGATACTTTGTAATTATTTATTTTGTAATTTGTGATATTATGTATATTTTGTATATTGTAAACAGGCCCCATGGAAGACCAGCAGCAACAATTATAGTTGCAGCTAAATATGGGCAACCAGCCGTATATTTATATTTGTATCTGATTTTTTTATTATACGGAAATAAAAACAACAACAACTTCTCTCGCTCTCTGTCACACAAAATACCAAGCACAAGTTAAATATCTGATCCAAATAAGTGGTTTATTTCAATTATTTTTTTCATTATACATTGCAACTGTTTATGAGAAGTGAAAGTACAAATCTAATAATAATCCTGTTCACATATGAAAACTTTATCTGCTCAATTCTCTTGACAATGATGAGGAATGAAGATTCGTTCACATATGCCAAGGTAAACTGCAACGGGATACACCAGTGTTTGTTTAATTTTATGTGTGGACTCAATAAATGGCACGTGGTGATGGCATAGGTAGCCGTACCCCACAGAGGTCCGACGCATACCTAATGTCTGTGTGTTAAAAGATACAAACTGTCAAATGGGGTACCCTGTATGCTTAAGAATTGGTCCGGTTTACGACGGCATACGTGAAGCAGCCTTAAAAGTACATGTGCCTATGAATTAATAATTCGAAATTCTCGTTTGTTCTTCTTTTTAACCCTGCCTCATTAAAAACTGTCTGTACCAGGTATCTGCATGTGAATAATGCTGCATTGGATGAAAAATATTCTGTATTTTCTGTCATAATAATTGTCTGGAGATTCCCAACAGCAGTTTTGAATACCGTTAGTGCAAAATTAGAAATCATTGAATCAACACAATCTATTCGCACATACATCAATGTCAAATTTGAATGCCACCTTCCACCTCGTATGTTTATCTTTGAATAGAAATATTAGGTGAATTATTTCCTTGATAGTTTTGTAGATAAGCTTATGAAAAATAACCTATAGAGATTGACAATATGGAAAGTTTCTCTCATTTGTTTTACATCAGCCAGATTTAATAAAGATAGCATCTGTATACAGGCACATCCATAGATTAAATGTATCAAATGAGGTAATATTCTGGACGACTACACTATACCCAAAAGTATGGCTCCATCTACATGTATATTTTCATGATCATTAGGGATAAAAAAAAAATTAAAAAGAAGAATGCACCCACATAAAGAATATGGATTCATATCCTTTTACACAAAGTTAATGTCCTTTTAGCTGTTAACACAAACATTTATGGGCTGAAACACAGACCAATTACAGCTACCGGTACATTGTGTAAGAAATACGAAGTGCTGAGGGTAATAGTCTTGGCACTAGGTGGACCAAAAGCTCCAATCTCTGATATCGATGGTTGTTCTGCTGAGACTAGGTCTTGCTCCACTGACCAACTCGATACAAGGAAGGACGACAAATGTCAATTTCATTATATATTCCCCATTCAAGGCGGTTATCTCCGTCTAGGCCCTAAGCTGACGACGCCAAGCATCGTGGAATGCTGATCACACACATTCGGCACTGTTCACACAGACACATTTGGGCTATTCTGTGCAATGTATTCCATACAACATGACATCTATCCATATATTTCACCCATGAATGAAAAAATGTCTTGATACCAGGGGGGTGTTTCACAAAGCCTTTTTTCAATGACAAATGACCAAAATCAGTGACAAATCTGCTGATCAAGCAATTAGAAGCAAGGATTTCAGTAGCTTGTAACAAAAACTGACAGTTGTCACTGATGACAAGTTTTGTGAAACACCCCCCAGAAGGCACCGCTATTGATCAATGGTCATATAAACTTATCAAGTGATTCTTTCATTTTACAATGTAAGGCTTGTGGAAAAGGACAAGTCATATGGGACACATGGCACAGAATGGCCCATTTCACAAGAGCACTTGCATACAATGTCTACAGTTTGATAAACACTTCTCATTTTTTGGATGGGCTGTGTTTCCACTCACTGATCTGAACACAGCGCAAGTACCAAAGAGATATAGATGTACTGTGAACAGAGCCTAATATTGTGGAATGATTAATGCCTCTGACTTGATTATCTTGCATGTTTTAACTACTGTACATATTTTTAACACTAAAAAGATGTTACTTGCATCACAGTCGCTCGATCTGGAAAATACAGACTGATTTGAACGAACTGAAGAAGAAAAAATACCTGAAATATGCACCTTTATTCCGGTATCTAAAACTCGCAAACCAGTGAGTTTGCTATTCAAATTTCTTACTTTGATGTAGATGACCATAAAAGATACTTTCAAAGAATTCAGCTTTGATTAGTCATAGAAAGTGATTTTATTGATGTTGCCTATTGAAAATATTATAACCTACATGTAAAATAAAAGATAATTGCAGCGATGACGTCTGTCAGATCTATTTAATGCCAAGTAGCTCCACATCAAAGATCAGAGTTGCATTGGGTGGAATAGTAGAAATATCTGTCAAGGAAAACACCTCTTACCACATATATTTTTCTAATTTCTATTTGCTCTTCATCTCCACAGTCATTTAACAATGACTGTCAGCTGGCGACAATAGTCACAGCTGACTAATCGCCAATGCCAAAACATAAGAAGAAGAAAAGCCCGTACCTTTCTCAACTCAGAAATTCTCAAAGAGGAAGCTGTTATATTATATGAGTATCAACTGTCATTGGTGAATGCAGGCAAACCCTAAGATATAATTACATTTGACAGAAGAGAAAGTAAATCAAATTTTGCAAACAAATTCAACGATACATACAGATGCCAGGGGCGGATCGAGGGGGTGTTTCGGCAGTTTAAACCCCCCCCCCCCCTCCTCTTGGGCGGCCAAGCGAAAAAGAAAACAAAAGTAAAACAGTAAAACGGCACGATTTTTGGGGAAAAAAATTGGTCAACCCCCCTGGCAAAAAGCTAGGTCCGCGCCTGGATGTTCTTTGCCGTATTACCAAAAATATAGACAAGTTTATTTTTAAATAGGAGTTATTTCATGCTGGGCAGATTTGTGCATGCTATTGGAAACAAAGAGATCTATGTCACAGGACAATGCCCCAGATTTTAGAACTAAAGTTGCATTCCATTCATGCAATGACGTAAAAGAAACTATCTGGAAGGAATTTGAAAAGGGTGATTATGTAGTATGTGAAAGAATTAGTGTATACTGTCAGGTACTGGAGCCATCAAAATAATAAGACATTGACTCAGTCTAGCTGGAAGTGACAAGTATTACACACAGAAATGCGTACGTGGGACTACACTAACATGTGCCAGGAAAGTTTGGTCCAAATATTGCAGCTAACTTTTGTCACTTTCTGAATTTGAAGACATCTGAAAGGCAACCCTTTTCAGGGAACATTTGCTCTCTGACATTCAATAATAATATAAAAAGAAACGCCTTACAAAAGTTATAGTTCACCTTAACAAGAACCCAACCCTCTCTTTCAAACCAGTAGTTTACTGAAATTTTGTTGAAAAGGATATGTTCCCTTGACCCCGGCAGCACCATATGCATAGTCGGGTGAGCAAGTCAGTTTAGCCTTCTCTCCAACAGACATCTGTAAAGGTTAACAAAACATTCTTTGGTATCCTGATTCAGATAAATACATGTCGATATTCTGGTGCTAGTGTAGTTCCGTATCCATTTTTTATGCAAACTTCTCGTATAGTTTATGGTATCTTGCATGTGCGTAATACCATAAAGCATACACAAAGTTTGCATAATTTTGGACTGATAGCTTCAGTTTGAGGTGCAGAGCTATAGCGCGCAGAGACGGTACCGAGCGACGACGTCGACATCGAAGCCCTAAACGGAGGCTTCCCGATGTCGGATGTGATTCAAATTCAGATGGGAAATGCAATATATGATTATGATTAAAGTTAGTAAACAATTGGGCTAAAATTCCCTTATTTAGAATGGATATTAAACTGCTAAAAAAAAGGATACAGCACTACACTAGCGCCGATATTCTTACAATATTCTTAGGATTTCTAAAAACAGAGCTGGAAAACAAAACAGAGAATAAAACAGAGAAACATGAAAGTTCCATCATCCAAATCCCAATTAATTACATCAAAGTAGTGCTGTAACCGAATACCGAACCGAACGGAAAGGCCTGGTTCGGATGTTGGGCAGAAAAATGTTAACGCTTCAAGCTAATTAACTTGTCATTTTGTAATTGTACCTAATTTTCATGTCATGATTGCTCATTCTATATTTACTTTTTTCCCATGATTCTTGTAAAATTGCAAATAAAACACGATTAAAGACGGAAATATGAATGCAAGTACTACTTTTCTTCACATACTGTATACATGTAGGTACGTTTAAAGCATTTAATTTGAAATTGAAGCCGGTCGGTAGCAGTGTTTTTTATCAGGAGCCGTGGGCAGAAATCCTCCGTGCTGGTTGGGCCCGCCCAGCCCGCCCACCGTAGCTATAACGCTGCTTGCTGTTATATTACCGAACCCCAAAACGGAAAAAGTTCGGGTAAAAAATTGCCAAACTCTGCTGAACCAAACCCGAACATGGCGCCTGACTTACGGCAGAAAACTACATCAAAGGTCAGAAAGTAACAGTCGTAAACAAGCCAATGAGGCTCATCATATTATGATTAAATCTTTCTAGTCTAGGACAATGGCAGTAGTGCTTAGTGAGTTTCAAACCATCTTTTAGATACTCTAATGCCTCGTACCAATATACTTGCTTGAAATTGAACCATGGATATTACTACCCTGATTATTACTGCGCTGGATGACACTACCCTGGATGACACTACCTTGGATGACACTACCCTGGATGACACTACTCTGGATGACCCACCCTGGATGACACTACCCTGGATGACACTACCCTGGATGACACTACCCTGGATGACACTACCCTGGATGACACTACTCTGGATGACACTACCTTTGATGACCCACCCTAGATGACACTACCCTGGATGACACTACTCTGGATGAAACTACCCTGTATGACACTACCCTGGATGACACTACCCTGGATGACACTACCCTGGATGACACTTCCCTGGATGACCCACCCTAGATGACACTACCCTGGATGACACTACTCTGGATGACACTACTCTGGATGACACTACCCTGTATGACACTACCCTGGATGACACTACCCTGGATGACACTTCCCTGGATGACCCACCCTAGATGACACTACCCTTGATGACACTACTCTGGATGACACTACTCTGGATGACACTACCATGTATGACACTACCCTGGATGACACTACCCTGGATGACACTACCCTGTATGACATTACCCTGGATGACACTACCCTGGATGACACTACTCTGGATGACACTACCCTGTATGACACTACCCTGGATGACACTACCCTGGATGACACTACTCTGGATGACACTACCCTGTATGGCACTACCCTGGATGACACTACCCTGGATGACACTACCCTGGATGACACTACCCTGGATGACACTACCCTGTATGACATTACCCTGGATGACACTACCCTGGATGACACTACTCTGAATGACACTACCCTGTATGACACTACCCTGGATGACACTACCCTGGATGACACTACTCTGGATGACACTACCCTGTATGGCACTACCCTGGATGACACTACCCTGGATGACACTACCCTGGATGACCCACCCTGGATGACACTTCCCTGGATGACCCACCCTAGATGACACTACCCTGGATGACACTACTCTGGATGACACTACCCTGGATGACACTACCCTGTATGACACTACCCTGGATGACACTACCCTGGATGACACTACACTAGATGACAGGTAGTCACTACCCTGGATGATGTCAATTACCTTCATAACACCTTCATCCCATGCTTTGATGACCTGTCCTGTTCCAATCTTGAACTGAAAAGGCTTGCCACGATCCTTCGACGAGTCGAACTTCTTTCCATTCGTCAAAGTTCCTGCAAATATTGGGACAAGTCAGTAATGTTAATCTATTTGATATACAAGATCTATACTTCTATTTATGCGATAGATTTTTAATCTTGAAAACTTAAAGAGAAACAATTTTTTTACCCCATGAAGGAAATAAAGAAAAACTGTTTCGAGCTCAGTGTATCTCGCTGCTCATTAGACAACATCAATGAAAGTTTACAATAGCTGCATTTACACTGCCATCAAAATATCAAAGATTTTTCCCACATTCCGGTGTTTATTCGGTAGTCACATACATGTACAGATTTAGCATTGCAAGTTTAGCAAGTACCAGCAAACACGATGAAAAATCAAGATCAAAATTTGCAGTGTAAACGCAAACTTTGGTAAGAATGCGATTTCTGCTCATGTGGCTCCTCGCTTCCATGCTAACGCATGCAGGGCACTGACCAATCGCCCCTGCGCACTCCTCACCAAAGAAACTGGTATGAGCAAAGTTCAACATTTTTTAATGGTTTTTTAATATTTATTTTTTATATTTATATAGGGCCGGTATCCGCCAGGCTCTGATGCTCATGGCGCTGTACATATTACAATCACAAAAATAGAACTTTCTTAACTAAAATAAAATCAACTAAAACAACACAAATTATTACGCTACATTGACATGATTAAATAGCACTGTTTAGAAAGAGATGGGTTTTAAAAGCAACTTTGAAGTCATGAAGGGCAGTGAAATTACGAATACTTAGTGGCAGCTTATTCCAAAGGGACGGATCAGATGAGAAAATGCTCGATGTTTAAATGGGCTTAATTATATACATGTATGTCAGGTTGACCAACTTTTCATGACATTTTTTAAAATAAATTAATTTAAGACAATAACAAAGAACAGATAAATGATTTTACTCACCTGTGTAATGAACTGAAACTGTCTGACCTTTCTTGGGATAGGTTGATGCTGAAATTAAAGGGAATAAAATGAAAAACTATTATGAAAGGGAAATCAAAGGGTTACAATGATTTTTTTTTGACAACATTTTGCATCATCCTGGATCTTTAAAATTCATGGATCTTTAAAATTCATGGTATTACCGGTATACGAGAGAGGGCAAATCCCCAAAATTAATTTAAGGGGGAATTAACCTCTCAAATATGAAGCATTATCATGACATACATGTACATTGTAGCTCTAGAGTAAAACAATGTTTCATTTGATATAAAAACTATATAAAGACCGTGAATACGCATTTGCAGATTTTATGCGCTGTCTCCATGGATTTTGGCTGAGCAGAGCTGAGTCACGCCTCCCTACATGTACTAAGCCAATTTAAAAAAAGTGATTCAGCCTGAGCCCGAGTCCGTTAGGCTCGGGCGCTGCGGCACTCGCAATGTACCATGTAAAATGTCCCAGGAGCAAAGAAATTGAAGAAATCAGTTCGAGTATTGAGAGATATGCCACTGTTCCTTCCAGCAACGATCAAGCCTGGTTTTGAAGGCGTCTATGATGGGAGCCTGAACTACTACTTCAGGCAGAGAGTTCCAGTCGTCAATCACTCTGTGACTAAATGTATTTTTCCTTACATTTGTCCTACACCTCGGCTTTGCAAGCTTGAGACTATGCCCTCTTGTTGGTGTGTCTGCTAGTTGGAAGAAGTGGTCAGGGTTGAGTCTGTCATGCTCATAAATGATCTTGTACACCTGAATCATGTCTCCTCTCCTTCTCCTGTACTCAAGGGATGGCAAGTTTAGGCATTTAAGTCTCTCTATGTAAGGTAGGTGTTTCATTGTGGAGATCGTCTTTGTTGCTCTCTTCTGTACTCTCTCCACAGCTTTTGCATCTGAAATGTACCTTGGCGACCAGATAACATTTCCATACTCAAGGAGGGGGCGCACTAGTCCCTTAAACAGCTTGGGAATGGTGGATGTGTCATGACACTGAAAGGCACGTCTGATGCTGATCAGGACCCTGTTGGCCTTGTTGATGGCATACGACACATTGCTGTGGAACTTCAGTTTGTCATCAACAAGTACCCCCAGATCCTTTGTCTCTCCAACTGTACTCAGGGCTGAACTCCCGATTGTGTAGCGCTCCTGACAGTCTCCAGATCCAAGATGTAAAACACAGCATTTTCTTGCATTAAACTGGAGTTGCCACTTTGCTATGAAGTAAGCTGTAACGATAAGTTGTGTTTTTCCTTAGCCATCATACTTCTAGCGACCAAATTGGTATGTAATATGTTTATTTTGTTTTTTTTCTGACCCAAATTTTTATCATGGACAATGTAATCCCATTAAAAAAAATGTTACTCCGTCTAAAATTGTGTTATTTATAACTTAAAACCATTAAATGCGAGTATATTTTTACTGTTGTCCCACATACCGATATATTTGTTATAACGAAACGTGCAAAATCAATGGCGGATTTTTTCCCTATAAAATCGGTATAAAGCTAGTTTCGTAGACAGAAATTGAATTTTGTTATAAAAAAACCGTAAATAAATATATAATAGATGTTCGTATACCTCTGAATTTTTCTTACAACTGTTAAATTAAATTATATTATTTATTTACTATGCCAGGCACATTGTCATTGATGCCTGAGTGATGGTATCAATTTCAGTCTACAAAATTAAACTAGCTTTGGCTTGGCCTTTAGAAATAGAGTCTATACATGTACGTGAAAAAAAAATATGGCCATGATTTTGCATGTTTCGTTATAACAAATACATCGGTATGTGGGACAACAGTAAAAATATTCATTCACATTTAATGGTTTTAAGTTTTAAATAACACAATTTTAAACGGAGTTACTTTTTTTTTTAAATGGGATCGCATTGTCCATGCTAACAATTAGGGACAGAAAAAAAAACTAAATAACATTACCTACCAATTTGGTTGCTAGAAGTATGATGGCTAAGGAAAAACACAACTTATCGTTACAGCTTACAATTTGGCTTTAAGAAAGTAGCCCCCTTTTTCAATAGTAGCCCCCACTTTTCTTTAAGTAGCCCCTTGGTTTTTTTTATGCAATGGGGTAAAGTAGCCCCCATAAAAAAATTAAATCTTGGCCTGCATGTCAGTGATAATATTTTCTTACAATATGAAAAACAAACAGTTATACAAAACTCTCCTTTCGACAAGTTTTAGTTACATGTACGTATAGATCTAAGCCACACGTTTAGCACAAAGTGAATAAATCATGGGTATCTGAATATGTCTGCAATACTCTACATGACATACATGTACATGTATGTACGTTACAACTGTATGTATATTTGCCTTTGCTTGGAATTTAAGTAGGTAAAACCATGTTTTTAAAAAATACAACCTTAAAAAAAAAAAAGCCCCCCTGAGCTCCAAAATAGCCACCGCAAAATAATTAAATAAATTGAAGAGTTAAACATTTCGTTCGTCATTTAAATTGTTTGACATTGTTTAACGTTGTTCCAAAAACTGAACTGTTAATTTACAGGGTGACTGTGAGGCAGACTGAAGTTACTTAAGTTGAACATGAATGGTAATAACCAGCAGTAGAGTAAAGGAGCCGGTAATCGGCCAGCTCCAGTTTTCGGCCGATTGGTTGGATGCAAGGTAAAATCACTCTAAAATACATCGCATAATAGCATAACACATATCCCACACATACCATACCATGCCAGTGTCACTGAAGAACCACATTTGCAATGGAAAATATATCCTAAAATATCACATTTTAGCGATGTAATCGCCGGTTCCGCTACCCAAATCTGAAAAATTGATTATCTTACGCGTGTCTGTAAGAAATATGGGTACCATAAAATGAGCTTTATTTCAAGTATTTTTCAGATTTAGAGCCCGATTTTGTGCTAGTCGCAAGCTCAAAAGTATCTCATCGTATGTATTAAATCAATGCAGCCGCACACCGCGACGCACACACGATATCTCTGTCTAATTCAGATTCCAACTTCGGATCACCGCTGTGCCTGTCTTCGGCCAGGCGAGCACCAGGGAGCTCCGGCGTGGGATACCTGCTCCGCCCGCTTGTGCTGTACATCAGCGCGGAAACGCACGGCGGGCGAGCGCTTCCTATTGACTTTGTACATGCGGCCGTAAACTGAAACGCTCGGCCGATAACTGGCTCCAAAACAGTGAAAATTGAAATGAATATTGTCATGGCAATTCGTGATTTTTTTCTGGGATTCTTTTTTTGTTTAAATAATAATAATATTTGCTTCATGATTTGACCAAGAAATGATAATAAATAGGAAGTAAAGAGTCCTAAAAATAGGATTTTGTCTTAAGTGGCCGAAAACGGGCTCCTTTACTCTATAATCACCTCCTCAAAATTAAGATGAAATAATTGACCTCTAAGTCTAAGCTAAAGTAGAGTGGACCAAGCAAACTGAGTTGCAAATTCAGTTGATTATGATGATGATAATTGAGTGTACTGCAGAAACTTGAAACTTCAATAAATGAAACAACACGGTTGTCAGTCATTTAACACTTGTTTGATATCAGGGGATAGACCCTATGGCCCGAATTCACAAAGGAGGTTTAGATTTAACCCAGGCTAAATCGCGTCATAATATGTCATAACCCCGAGCTTTAGACCATGGGTCATTATTTTGGTATTCACAAAGGAAGTTTAGATTTAACCCAGGCTAAATCGCGTCATATTACGTCATAATTTTAGCCTGCTCAGAAGGGTGGTTTAAACAGCGGGCTAAATCTAACCCAAGGTTTAACTCACGGTTTAACGCGTCATATGACGTCATACCAGCGAGCTTTGGCTTTTTAGCGCAGAAGATCGTACAAAATTTGTTGACAAATATGTGGTGAAACAAAGTGAAGAGACCTTCACAAAGTTGCTGTTTTTTCAACTTTGATAGCCTACATCGTAAGTATTTTTAGTTTTTCACAACATATTTGTACCATATTCTCAGTTCTGCTACAATGGAAGCCCAATTGAACATGTTTTATGTGCGTAAAAAGTGCACAAATAATAATCTTATTCGTAAGTTGCACAGCCTTTGCGAACATTGTCGCAGAACCTAACGCAGTTCGGACCCATGCGTGTGTATTTGTGTTGTGTTGTTTATGTAATCCTGCGAGGCGAGGCAATTTCGCAATAATTGCGAATGTGTGCCAGCTAACAATACGAAATAAGTTATAACATCACACAATTGTGTGAATCGGGAAGAAAAATATGTTGATTGTGACATTTGAGACATTCCTGGCCTCGGGGGAGGGGGGGGGGGGTGGTGACAGTTCCATTGGCATTGCTGCTACCTGGCCTCGGCTGGCGCAATGCATAATTAAAAAGCTTGTCATTTGTTCGAGCATTGCCATTAGCTCTGCTGATGATGCTTCTCATCTAACGAAGGAGAACGAAAAATGCCGAAAAGAAAATGAAAATTCTTCCACGCTGATGGATTTTACTAGTCCACTAGTACTACTACTCGGTACCAGATTCTAGACCTAGATCTAGACTAGACTAGGTCTACTGACACTCAGTACCGTGTCAGTAGATCTAGGTCTAGATCTAGGGCCTACTGACTCTCTTGAGCTTGAGCTCAAAGTCGGTGGCGGTGAGACACACAAACACGTACCCTCTACAGTCAACTCCTATAATAGTACGTCATGTCTAGATCTAGGCCTAGACTACATCAATACATTGTTGTAGTCTACTTGAATTTTGAAGCAAGTTTAAAATCTGCACAAGCAAATAGCCAATAAATCAATGTGTGTTCTTCCTAATCTAATCTTAGTCAAATACAACCTTTCACATTGGACATCCAATGCTAATTTACATGTACATGTAGGCCTAGCTAATTTCACATTTTATAAATACCAAGCATGAGTAGATTTATAACAAAACATGACAGGAATTGGCCCCTACATGTACGTTCTTATGGAGGATCAGTGACATCATCTTTCCTAATTCCCCAATAGTATGAAGTAATCAACTAGTAAAAATAGCACTCCTTTCTTTAATGCAGTCAAAGTATCGTTACTATTTTTTAAGAGTTTGCAAAAGCTATTCAAAATCAGATTGTCTACAATAAAAAGAATGCAAAACATGCAATACCATAGGCTTTATTTGATAAACAATGAATGATATTTTTTCATTTCATGTTCTAATTTAAATCACTTTTCTCTATTTTGTTGTGACAGAGACAGAGCATGGCTGAATATGCACTATATCCGCCGGCTTGACCGGAACAGAGTTGCTAGGCAGACCTCAGAGAGGCCTTTGTGACAGCAAGAACCCTTTTGAAGTGTAGGCCTACGAGAGACAGCGCTCTACCTCATCAACTTGGTGGATGAAGAGCTGAGGAGGACAACAGACAGCTGAGCATCCCAATACCTGCTTTGATATAGGTAGTGACACTGTGACAGCACTTTGATTCTATGCTGTTGGTGAGTAATTTACCTTATTAAGTATGGGAATGTTATGTTAAAATTCTATTTAATCTTGGCTGAGTGAAAAAGTAAAATGGTAAAATTGTGGTTACCATGTTTGGCGGGAGGTTTTTTCATAAACCGGGAGATTCTACATCAAAGCGGGAGGAAGGGCGTGGTGGCAGGAGTCTCCCTCCAAATGCGGGAGGGTTGACAGCCCTGATTTAATAAAAAATCTATTCTACAATTTTAAGGACATTAAACATTTCTCAGTTTGAGAATTTTATGTGGCCTTGTAATTTGTTGATTTTTCACTAAAATAATTTTTTTTTTTACAGGGTCATTCCAAATGATGCATGGTGATGAGGCACAGCTTTCACAGTCTTCTGTATGCAGAGTCATCAAAGACGTGTCAGAAGCTTTTGCAAGAAGAAGGGAACAATTCATGAAGTTCCCAACATCAAGAGAAGAAGTAGAAGCAACACAGCAGCAGTTCTACCAGTACTGCAGGTTGCCAGGTGTTCTCGGTGCAATTGATGGTACTCAATGACTCATTTCTACATCAGGAGTCCTGGTAGAAATCAAGCCCTGTATTTTATTAATAGGAAGAACAGCATCTTGCAGTATTCTCAAATCTGTCGTTTCAATTGCCATCATTTGTTGTGTTGTCCTGACTTTTTGTTAATCGTCATTGTCATCTTCATCATCATCGACATCATCACTGAAATCGTTCATTGACTGCTTCATCACCATCGCCACTGACAACATCGCTGCCATCACCATCGCCGCCGACAACATCACTGACATCATCATCGACTTCTACATTATCTTCGTCAATAACCTTAAATTACTTGTTATGATTATCCATATTAAATCATCAATATTTAAATATACATTTCTCTTGTTTGATGGTGTGGTTTTTCTCGGGAGATCATTAAGTTAGGAGGTAAACCTCCTTGGGGAGTTCTACAAGTGAATGACCTACATTGTTTATCTTGTTTAATTATTAATATACCATTTGCTGTTATCTATTACTTATAATTACTTTGTACCCAGTACCCACCATAAATTAAAATGGATTCAGTATTTTTCGCTAAATCCAAACACCTGTGCAGTACAACATTAAAAGAGAGAGAGAGAGAGAGAGAGAGAGAGAGAGAGAGAGAGAGCAAAAGACAAAGAGAGAGATGAAGAAAGAAGGAGAAAGGGTATGTGTGAGAAAGAGAGAGGTGGAGGAAAACAAAGAAAAGGGGTATTAGAGGGAGTTCTAACGAAATAAAAAGATAATTTGAGAGAGAAGGTGGGGTAGAGAGCTGGTGAACAAAAGAGAGACAACAAACAAAAACAGAGAAGGTGAAAGTGAGAAATAGAGACAAAATTTTTTAAAAAGTTTGACTTTCCTTTTTGTTTAAATCACTATTCCCTTGAGATTGTTCAATAGATCTACAGCAAAAAAATTAAGAAAAAATGAATGACCCCTGACAAAAAAATTAATACAGCAAATAAACAAATTAAGAAAAAAATTAATGCCCCCCCCCCCCCTCCCCCTGAATTGGGGCTATAATTCTTTATCACATGTTAAGACTGCCTTGTTTTTGCTGTCCTCTTTACTTTATATGACCAGTAACAGGGGCGGAGTTCCAAAAAAATGTGGGGGGGGGGGGGGGGGTAGTACGCACTAATTTTTTTTTGGGGGGGGGGCCGTGCCCCCTGTGCCCCCCCCCCTGGATCCGTCCCTGAGTAAGCACAGTTTTTTTTTCAAGACATCTATGCAGTTTATGCATTAATGCCAGTATTTTCCATCAGATAGTATTTATCTTTCTTTCTACATCATCAACACATTCTGGAATAAAACCGTTAAAACGTCATCGATCGCTTTCTCTGCCTCTACGCTATAGATAACCAAGTCTTACTTTGGATTGATAAACTAAAGTGTGACCTTAGTACGCTCTAAAATCATCATAACAATCAACGAAAATGTGATCATATAGCTCTAAAATTAACACTACATCATAGAAAATGTTCACTCCTTGTTTTTTAAAGTGGTATTCGTTTACAGAATGTTTTTGTGGACTCTTCCACGAAAAGTCTCCTGTCAATGTTTAGTGTTGTGAGCAACAATGCGCTCTGGTGCGGCTGCCCAGCTGATCATAATTTTGTCGGACGATTGATAGGCCATAAATTAACAACGATAGTGAGGAATTAATGAGGTAATTTAAGCGAAATGCGGAAATATTTTGAGGACATCTGTTAGAGAACACGTTTTAGTATGTGAATAGTGGTGTAAAGTCTTATCTCAACTTGGAATCGGTTGGTTTTCAGTCTCTACTTGTAGGCGAAGAGAAATAACACAAATACAGGTACGAGACTGAACAACTGAATCTGGACTTAGCAGACGACGGTGAACTAGGTGGAGTAACCAAAAGTGTACTGAGCGCGCATGCTCAGTTCAATGCTTCAATTCTGCGCATGCTCAGTTTATTTTTTTGTCTCTTATTCTTAGGCATGCTTAAACCGTGGGTTAAACCTAGCCTTAAGGGCTCTCTCGAAATGTTTTTTTAATGATATTATTCGAGAGAGCCTTAAACGGCTCCCATACCCCTGCACGGAGAGGCATGTAAACAAAACTCAAAAGTGGTCCAAAATCACACTTTCGCGCACCCGACCAATATTGGACAGTGGCTTTGATAAATTTTGTCCGAGTTTTGGTCTTAATTAGCGCTTTAATTTCAAAATCGGATCTAAAAATAACAAAATAAGAGCAATTTTCTTACCAGACCGATACAGCTCAGCTCCCTTTTCACGTGTACCGTGTGAATTCACGATGTCTACACAATGGTGATGACCTCTGACTAGCACTTCGTAAATGTGCTGCTTCCGTATAATGCGCTGAATAACACTCATACAGCGCATTATACGGAAGCAGCACAATTTACCCACAATTACGGAAGTGCCAGTCAGAGGTCATCACCATTGTGTAGACATCGTGAATTCACACGGTACACGTGAAAAGGGAGCTGAGCTGTATCGGTCTGGTAAGAAAATTGCTCTTATTTTGTTATTTTTAGATCCGATTTTGAAATTAAAGCGCTAATTAAGACCAAAACTCGGACAAAATTTATCAAAGCCACTGTCCAATATTGGTCGGGTGCGCGAAAGTGTGATTTTGGACCACTTTTGAGTTTTGTTTACATGCCTCTCCGTGCAGGGGTATGGGAGCCGTTTAAGGCTCTCTCGAATAATATCATTAAAAAAACATTTCGAGAGAGCCCTTAAGGCTAGGTTAAACCGTGGGTTAGATTTAGACCATGGGTTATCTAACCCACGCTTTGTGAATACCGAGCGAGGTTTAAACCGTGGGTTAGATTTAGCCTGGGCTAAATAACCCAGGGTTAGATTTAGCCTGGGTTAAATCTAAACCTCCTTTGTGAATTCGGGCCAATGTATTTTATTACAGCTAGGGTGTCTGAACGATTTTTCAATTTTCAATTTGGGATCGTTTTTCACCATTTTTGTTGGATATTGGAATAAAAAATGTAATCAGAATAATACCTTTCAAATTTCAAGACTCACCGATGTTTCTATCAAAAGATACAGCCCCTCAAAAACTGTGCAATATTCATAGCATTTTGGTCAGAATGGACAGAAAAGTGGTTCATGCAGAGTTATAATTTCTGCTCAAAAGCTGCACAGCTAATGCACAGCACGATATGCAAAGCGTGGAGCAAGGGTATTTTCAAACTGTTGTAACAAATGATCCCTTGGGACTAGAGAAAAAATAAGTGCATGAATATTATCTTTACAGCTGGCCCAACTTATCCCTCGGGGGAGCAGTTCGTGAAATTGGTAAATCTCCGAGTTACCATGGAAACGATGTTTAAATTGCTGTTTTGAGCAAGATATTTTTAGAATTCCGGGGGTGGCCCCCTATGGGGAATATGGAGAAAAACCTGCTCTTTCATATGACACCACATTTATTGAGTTCCACCTTCAGGATCATTTGTTATAAAGGTTTGAATTTCAAACTTTTCATAAAATCATTGACCAATTTTGCTTGGTCGCGCAATGCATGTAGACCACATAGGGACGTGTGCAATCTCTATGGGAAAGATTTTAGCACACAACATCGGGTGCGCGATCAGACACCCTATTACAGCATTTTGAACCCACACACAATAATACAAGGTAAAAACATCAATTTTCAAATTGAGCTCCTCACTCTTTCCAGGAGAGTTATTTGAGGAGCTCAATTTGAGCTCCTTGGGCTTGGCAAAACAAGGAGTGGGATTAATAGAGCTCCACCAAATTCTAGAAATGAAGGTCTGCTCTTAAGCTCCGACGCGACGCCCCGACGCCCCAACGCCGCGCCTTCGGCGTCGGCGAGCAGGAGCTTCCTAACTTAAGAGTTATACAGCTCAGCACGTCACACGTCACACGTGCCAGCAATACACACCGCAACTCACGCTCAATTCAGACTTGTTTCACACATCATAATGATAAATTAGCACCGCCACCATTTGTTCATAGTAAAATCATAAACGATTCAACTTACAGTCACCATCTTGATATGTGTTAACGTCTACACCCATGATTCCGAAAATCGCAGACGTATTACTATTAAAGAGAAGATCAGAGGCGCGGCGCTGGCTCCAAAAAAATAGGTAGCTAAAAGATAGATCTGAGACGTGTTTTTCTACAGCGCAGCTCGCACAAGTAATATTCGGCACAGGATCTTTACCAACTCGGTACACATTTCGTTGACGATTCTCCTGCTATCCGATTTTGAAGATTTGGTAATCTTATAGAGATATATTCTTAATCGCTATGGGTAATCTAGATCCACATAAGATATGGAAATTTAAACAAAAATATTTTTTTCATATTTAGTTTCTAAACATTTATAAATAAATAAATACTAATAACCGGAATTTTAGTGCATTTAAGCCCGCTCGTGAGTCTCGTCTCAATAAAAGCCCAAAGGCCGCTTCAATTTAAATCGTTGACAGGTCGGTGACATCCTAATTTTAAGTTGATTCATGTTGATGTGCAGGGCTGCATACAACTCATATTTTGTCATTCAAACATCTAAATGTATTTCAAACAGAAAAGGTTAAAATTGAAGGTCATCCACCCACTTAAAAGTAGTGGGATGCGAAATGTCGGCAGTTAGATTGTTCATTTATGACTGGAATAATGTTTACTGTGAACATGACATATCAACAATGGCGGATCCAGGAGGGGGGGGGGGGGTGCAATTTTTCAAATTTTCGCCGGACCAAACAAAAAAAATAGTGCTCACTTGCGCGGGAGGTGGGGGGAGGAACTGATTTCATACAAAGATTAAGAGTCGAGAACGGTACAACGAATCGTCTTCCTTCGATAATAATTTAATGAAACGTTAAGCTTCCGCGCGAAGCTGACTTCAGACGACTTCAGATGACTTCAGACGAGGATTAGGAGTCGAGAACGGTACAAAAAATCGTCTTCTTTCTCTAATAATTTAATAAGGGGGGAGGGCCGAATTCAGACAACTGAACTAGGATCAAAAGTCGAGAATGGATCACAACGAATCATCTTCTTACTGAAATAATTTTATTCAGCTATGTAAGGTAAAGCGTCCGCGCTTCTCTTCTTTCTCTAATAATTAATGAAAGGTCAAGGCTTCCGCGCTTCGCGCGGACGGGGGAAACTGAATTCGGACAAGGATTCAGAGTCGAGAATGGTACAACGAATCGTCTTCTTTCTCTTAATGAAACGTCAACGCTTGCGCGCTTCGCGTGGAGGGGGAAAAATAAATTTAGACAAGGATTAAGAGTCGAGAATGGAACAATGAATCATCTTCTTTCTCTAATAACTTTATTAAACTATGAAAGGTCAGAGCTTCCGCGCTTCGCGCGGGAGGGGGGGGGGGGGAACACTTACTGAATTTAGACAAGGAATAAGAGTCGAGAACGGTACAACAAATCGTCTTCGTTCTCTAATAATTAATGAAAGGTCATTGCTTCCGGGGGAAAACTGAATTCAGACAAGGATTAAGAGTCGAGAATGGTACAACGAATCGTCTTTTTTCTCTTAATGAAACGTCAAAGCTTCCGCGCTTTTGCGCGGAGGGAGGAAACTGAATTCAGACAAGGAATAAAAGTCGAGAACGGTACAACGAATCGTTTTCTTTCTATTTAATGAAACGTTAAGATTCCGCGCTTTGCGCGGGAGGGGAAAAACTGAATTCAACAAGGATTAAGAGTCGAGAATGGAACAACGAATCATCTTCTTTCTCTAATAATTTTATTAAACTAAATCGAGAATGGTACAACAAATTGTCTACTTTCTCTAATAATTTAATGAAACGGGAGGGGGGAACCGAATTCAGACAAGGATCAAGAGTCGAGAATGGAACAACGAATCATCTTCTTTCTCTAATAACTTTATTCAACTATGAAAGGTCAAAGCTTCCGCGCTTCGCGGGTAGGGGGAGGGGGGAACTGAATTCAGACAAGGAATAAGAGTCGAGAATGGTACAACAAATCGTCTTCTTTCTCTAATAATTAATGAAAGGTCATTGCTTCCGCGCTTTGCGCGGGCGGGGAAAAACTGAATTCAGACAAGGATTAAGAGTCGAGAATGGTACAACGTATCGTCTTCTTTCTCTATTAATGAAACGTCAAAGCTTCCGCGCTTTGCGCGGAGGGGGGGGGGGGACTGAATTCAGACAAGGAATAAGAGTCGAGAATGGTACAACAAATCGTCTTCTTTCTCTAATAATTAATGAAAGGTCATTGCTTCCGCGCTTCGCGCGGGCGGGGAAAAACTGAATTCAGACAAGGAATAAAAATCGAGAATGGTACAACAAATCGTCTTCTTTCTCTAATAATTTAATGAAACGTTAAGCTTTCGCGCTTTGCGCGGGAGGGTGAGAAGCAGAATTCAGACAAGGATGAAGAGTCGAGAATGGAACAACGAATCATCTTCTTACTCTAATAATTTCATCAAACTATGAAAGGTCAAAGCTTCCGCGCTTCGTGCGGGAGGGGAAAAACTGAATTAAGACAAGGAATACGAGTCGAGAATGATACAACAATGGTCTTCTTTATCTAATATTTAATAAAAGGTCAAAGCTTCCGCGCTTCGCGCAGGAGGGGGGGGGTGTAAGGGGAATACCTTCATCCCAGCCTTTGATGACCTGTCCTGCTCCAATCAAGAACTCAAAAGGCTTGCCACGATCCCTGGAGGAGTCAAACTTCTTTCCATTCTCCAAAGTTCCTGCAAATATTGGGACAAGTCAGCAATGTCCAGAAGCGGATCTAGAGGGGGGGGGGGGGGGGGGGGGGGGGGGGGGTTGCAACCCCCCCCCCCCAAAAAAAAAAAAATCCGGGGACCATTTTTTTAAATCTTATCTTTTTTTTAAAACTTGTAATTTTATTTTATTCTATTTCTATGTATTTATTTCATTTATTATTATTATTATTATTATTATTATTATTATTATTATTATTATTATTATTATTATTATTATTATTATTATTATTTCTTTTTGGGGGAGGGGGGGGGGGGGGGTTGGGCGAACAAATGTCACAGAGTCCCTTGCCCCCCCCCCCCCCCCCCCATCAGCTTTTTTGAGGACACGGGCCACCGCCGAAGTGAAAAAAAAAAAGAAAGAAAAAAAGAACGCACGCTGGAGAGAAACCCTTTCAAGTGCAAATATTGTGAGAAGATTTTCAACTCATCTGGTAACTTAACCAAACACATGATAACTCTGGATATAACTGTGTATTTAACTGTTACTTGATTTAAAAAGACGTTATCATGCACTGCTTTTTATGGTCTCCATTGTGTTAATAGATGCCAGGAAAACATCACTTACGGGGTTCAAATAAACACCCCCCAAAAAATCGGCTCGCCGCTTCGCGGCTCGTGGACGATGCTCCGCATCGTCATTATTTTGGTCACCCCCCCCCCCTCAGCAAAAAGCTAGATCCGCCCCTGAATGTCGATCCGTTGATATACAAGATCTAAACTTCTATTCTATTTACGTGATAGATTTTCAATCTTGAAAAACTTAGGAGAAACTAATTTGTTTACCCTGTGAAGAAAATAAAGAAAAACTCTTTAGAGCAGTGTATTCCTGCTGCTCAGTAACTCACGTCAATGGAAATTTACAAAAGCTGCATTAACACTGCAACTTTAAAACTTTCTTCTTTTTTCCCCCCTTTTTTTTTACCTCAGTTTTTTTCTTCTTCTCACGTTCCGTAGTATAGCAACTACCAGCAAAGACGACCCAAAAAATGGAGTTCAATTTTTTTTATTTTTTTTTTATTACCCCGGTTGTGTAAATGGTACTCCAGAAAATTGATTTGATTTTTTCAAAACTGTGTTTTTGATGTGTAAAACTATAAATGGGCCTCATAATTATGTCAGGTTGACCCTACTTTTCATGACATTTAAAAAAGAATTATTATCTAAAGAAAATAACCATAACAAGATTGATGATTTTACTCACCTGTGTAATGTGTGAAGGCTTATTTTAACGTGTCGTTGTGCCAGATAAGTTTCTAAAATGAAAAAAAAAAGCATGATAGCATATAAATTATATACTATACATTTTTTTTTTTTTTGGGGGGGGGGGGCACACGCAATTTCGCCCCCGACCCCCCCCCCCCCCAAAAAAAAAAGCCCCGCCCCTTGACAAAATAAGCAGTTTAGAAGTAAAAATTATTTGTATTATTAAACCAAAATAATAATGATAATAATAAAACCTGAAAATTAAATTCCGTTCAAAAGAAGAAGAGTAAACAGGAATTACATTTCCTAAAAATTCTGCATGCCCCCATATTTTATTAATGAAGGTAATACCGGTACGCGCATATAGTGGAAATATTGTGAGAGGATAGGAAAACGTGTTTTATTTTTATTATAGGGGTTAGAAGGTTAGAAGACATTGGCCTTTAAACTCTGGCGTACTGATGGGGGGGGGGGGGGGGGGTCGGTTGCCCCCCAAATAAAATTAAAGCGTGGTCGATACCAGTGATTTATAAATGTTGCTGAAATTACATAATTTTCCGGGATTTTGTCTCATTTTGGGGGGTAAATTATACTTTTTATGCGTTTGTTAGAACATTATGATTCCCAAAATTATAATCAGGCAAAAAATATGCTTAATATTTAGAAGCCTTCATGTCAGCGCCTGCAGAACGGCGGGGCTCGGACCCACTTCCCTTTTTGACAAAGCATGTTAAAGAGATCTTGATTTTAGCACTTTTTTCTCTCTATTCCTTTGGCCTTATAACCATGTAGCATCTGGGTTCGAAAAAGAGAGAAAGAAAAAAGGAGTGACCTGCCAGTGTCACGAATGAGGTATAAAAATATGCTCATCATTTCTGACCGTAATTAAATGCCTAGACCCTATGAGCTTACGGGAGTTCCACCCCCTGGACCCCACCAAGGGCCTATAGCTAACGAGGGCCTCTGGATGCTTCTGACCAAAATTAAATGCCTAAAACCCCTGAACTTCATATATGCTGAACCCCATACCAATTAGTGACCTGCCAGTATGACAAATAAGGTATCTAAATATGCTTATCTAAAACCCCTGAGCTTAATTCCTGCATATGGGGCGGACGGTAAATTAAGCCCCTGGACCCACGCCAATTAGCTCCACTCGCTTCGCTTTACCCACTCCACTTTGAAAAGTCGTTTCTGTGGGGGTATTCTGTAACATGTAAGATTGGTGGTGATGCAGATTTTTCTTTTGCTCATTAATTACGCCACTGCCCCTGAAAAGATGAGCCCCCTGGAATGCTTGCCCCTCCCCCATCCCAAACCGCTTCCGTCGCGCCTGTACAAGTGAACATTTATTGAAAATTCATTTTACATTTCGTTTCAATGGTTCAAATTTATTTCCACTTTCTTCTTTTTGGATAATAAAATTACCAAAAATCGATAATAATGATGCATGTATGTAGAAAAATAATCATTCTTCTAATTGCATCATAATTTGAGAAAAAGTGGAGAAAACTATAAAAGCAGAGTTTGTAAAGCTATATTTCCCCGTTTAGGTAGAAATTAAACGAGTATTGCATGAATTCTTACTCAGACTTAAATCATCAAGAAACACAATCGATTCGATATGATCGGTGAAATTATTCTGAGGCCTGTGCGGTCAAAATAATGTTTTTAATGTTTTTGAAAAAGAGGAAAAATAAATGAATTGAATTGAAGAGCGCCATCATACTTCAATATTGAAGTGGATCGTCACAGCTGGCTAGCTGGCCTGAGATGATAACAGCAATTTGTATGAAATGGGACTACAGAAAATTGGGTTGAGGATTTGTCAGTGCGAAAGAATGACAACAATTTGAGATGTGTATACTGTTGGTGACATGACAGAGAGCTATGAGTTTGTAACCTGGGATAATATTTTTGACACTTTCTTGAAGCAAGCCATCGCCAGGATTCTCAAGAGATTTTTCGACAGAACTTCGGTCTTTAGAAGTTCAGATTAATCTTGGTAAGTGGAAATTTTGAGAAATTTTTGTTTGTGAAAGAACGAAATTATGGATGGAGTCGAGTCGGAATCGGCATCAGTGCCGGTGCGAAGACCAAGCGCATTGAGTGGGCCGTGGGCACAGTGGGTGTAGACTCTCTACGTGTGATGGTAGATACGGTAATCCTGAAACATGAACCAAACAGCGGGTTTGGCTTTTTTCGAAATGTGAAACGGTAGGTAGGCCTAGGCCTAATTACAATTTTGACTTAGAATCTACATTCTACAATGTTTTTTTTTTTACTCCTCTGGGCTCGTTGAAGGTCGGGTCATATCAAACAGAGCGGTCGCTCCATCCACGTTTAAACACAAAAAACCTTTCACACACAAAATGTCCAGCTCTCTAGATACGAACTTCGTATCTGCAGCCTGCTTTTAGGGGCGTATGAATCGCGACTTTGTATCTATCCCAACATCGTATAAATGATGTTCACACAGGGAAATTTTTTCTATAGGACATGTTTAAAACTGTTGAGTTAAACACGTTTATACTAGATCTAGTACTTATTACTAGATCTAATCATCTCGAGATACAATGAATTTTAGCTGTGTGTGAAAAGGCTGATTGGCTATTATAAGATGATGACGTGGATCCTAATCAAATGATTGGTTGAAAGCGTACACGTGACCAGGCATTTATTTTGCCTAACGCGTAATTTTGGGTAATGACGGTCATTATCCAATGTAATGACCGGTAATTATCAAAATCATGTTAGAAAACATCATTTTATAAAATAAATAAAACAAAATCTTATAAAACAAATAATACACATCATTTTGTTCAGGCATTAGTAAAATTACCCACACTTGGTACCTTAAAAACAGTCCAAACGCCCTCGGCTATCGCCTTGGGCGTGTTAGACTGTTCCAAAGGTATCTTGTGTGGGTCATTCTTACTAATGCCCTCACTGATGTGTGTTATTTGTTTTATAAGATTATGTTTTATTTGTTTTATAAAATGATGTTTTCTAACATGATTTTGATGATTCTCAAACGTGTAAATTCTTACATGAATGTGTTACTGAGCACTTGGGCCTTTAAGGAGTTAAGTCTATGTTTCACTAGGCATTGACTTCAATGGGGTGTTGGGTGGAGTTGAATCTTTGTGTTTCCTGGAAAGCCCAAATTCTTCTGAACATTTTGATATCAAATACTCATTTTGGCAAAATATGAAGTTACATCTTTGTAGCGTCAATATGTACAGTAGTCCTTGTTGTCATCTGCTCATTTTGACCACATACATGTACAGTACAAAACAATTTGACCTAGTAACTTCTTGATATAATGTACATGTACAGTGCACACATGGTTGCATCACAGCTTGGAGTCAAACGCCCCCTCCATATTTCAATGAGTCACTTCAACTCCCTTGCTTGTAAACATGTCAAAGTATTGTGCATGTACATGTACATTGTATGTACGCCTACCTACTATAAACATATCTGCACATTTTTGATAAGTCATGAAATATTGCATGCATCCATGAAAGTCAGGCCTGACAAAAACCCAATTTAAATCGGTTTCCTGATTTATTTATTTTTTCCCGATTTTTTTTTTTCTTCCTGATTTAAAAAAAAAAAAAAAAAAATCCTGATTTTTTTTGTCTCGCCTGCGTAGCAAAAAAGCGAGACATAGGCGCCGCTTTTCCGGTGACGGCGGCGGCGGCGACGGCGTCAACATCAAAAACTTAACCTAAGGTTAAGTTTTTGAATTTTTGATATAATTCTGAAAGTATAAGTCCTTAGTCAATGAAACTTAGACTATAGGGTTATTAAGTATCCCCAATCATGTGAGTTGAATTTCAGGTCCCAAAGTCAAGGTCAAAAGTCATTTCAGGTCAATAGACTTAGACTATGTTGTGGCATCATTATCGAAAACTTAACCTAAGTTTAAGTTTTAGAATTTTTGATATAATTTTGAAACTTATAAGTTCTTAGTCAATGAAACTTGGACAATAGGGTAATCAAGTATCCCCAATCATGTGAGTAGAATTCAGGTCACTAAGTTAAGGTCATTTTAGGTCAGTAGAATTGGATTATGTTTTCACAACTTAATATGAGAATAAATTAATCAATTTTTCTTATTTGTTCATGATTCTTAATCAATGTTCACTTTAAAATGCTGATTATATTCAAAGGATTTCATTTTGGGGGGCCTGCTAATGGGCCACCCTGCCTATAAATAATGTTCAAAGTTCCAACCTCAATTTTTCATTTTATCAAATTGCGTTATGCAGGCGAGACCGCCGAGAGCGTTTCCCTTGTTTAAATTTTTTTTTTACAATATTTTTTTTCTTCTTCCCTATTTTATCCTGATTTCCTGATTCTCCCCTTATTTTCTCTGTTCTTCCCTATTTTGCCCTATTTTTTCCCCAATTTCCTTACTCGAAAGAGGGGAATGTTGTTAGATGCCATTTTTTCCCCTGCGAATCCTCTTCTTTTTTTTTTACTTAAGGGGGGCGTGGTTGAGGGGAAAACAAGAAACCTATTTTTGTTTTAGTGCTCACTATCACCCCTGGAAAGTAGATTCCATCAACTTTTCATCTTGATTTATTCAAAGTAAGGGGTTTGTTTGTTAGATTTAATTTTTTTGTATTTGTTTTATTTGTTTTCATTTTCTTATAATTTTTATGCCTCCGCCACCGAAGGTGGTGCCGGAGGCATCATGTTTTCGGGTTGTCCGTCCGTACATGTACGTCCGTCCCGTTTGACCGTTATCACAATATCTCAAGAACCATTTAAGATTTAAACTTAAGACTCGGGAATAGTATTTATCACCATAGGAAGACGATCTGATTAGATTTTGGAGTACGTAGGTCAAAGGTCACAGGTCACAGAAGTCAACTTATGAAATTCCTTGTATTGAGTTTGTTAGCGCGATATCTCAAGAACCATTTGAGATTTAAACTTCAAACTTAAGGATAGTATGTATCACCATAGGAAGACGATCTGATTGGATTTTGGAGCACGTATGTCAAAGGTCAAGGGTCACAGAGGTCAACTTATGAAATTCCATACATTGAGATTGTTATCATGATATCTCAAGAACCACTGGAGATTTAAACTTCAAACTTAGTGATAGTGTGTATCACTATAGGAAAACAATCTGATTACATTTTGGAGCACGTAGGTCAAAGGTCAAGGGTCATAGAGGTCAACTTATGAAATTCCATACATTGAGATTGTTATCATGATATCTCAAGAACCACTGGAGATGTAAAAACTTCAAACTTAAGGATAGTATGTATCACCATAGGAAGACGATCTGATTAAATTTTGGAGCACGTAGGTCAAAGGTCAAGGGTCACAGAGGTCAACTTATGAAATTCCATACATTGAGATTGTTATCATAATATCTCAAGAACCACTGGAGATTTAAACTTCAAACTTAATGATAGTGTGTATCACCATAGGAAGACAATCTGATTAGATTTTGGAGCACGTAGGTCAAAGGTCAAGGGTCGCAGAGGTCAACTTATGAAATTCCATACATTGAGATCGTTATCGCGATATATCAAGAACCACTGGAGAATTTTCACTTCAAACTTAATGATAGTATGTATCACCATATCATAATATCTCAAGAACCACTGGAGATTTAAACTTCAAACTTAATGATAGTGTGTATCACCATAGGAAGACAATCTGATTAGATTTTGGAGCACGTAGGTCAAAGGTCAAGGGTCACAGAGGTCAACTTATGAAATTCCATACATTGAGATTGTTATCATGATATCTCAAGAACCACTGGAGATTTAAACTCCAAACTTGTTTAAATTGCTCTATGGCGGAGGCATCATTTTCGACTGCGCGCAGTCAAAATTCCATCTAGTTGGCATTGTTTCATTTTATTTTCTTTTATTTTCTTTTGTTTTTGTTTGAATCAGTACTGATCAGATTTGTACATTTTTTGTTGAGGTCTGGTTAATTTGAAGTACAGTAATCTGTACTGCAGTGGGCTTCAGGCTCCATTTCCTTTCCAAAATCTCAGGAGAAACAAATACCGGTAATATGATTTGACATCGGGTACAGAATACTACGGGTGCGTTTATCATGACTCGCCACTCAGAACCAGCGTTTCTACATGTATATGTATCAAACCCCACTATACGAACGTGATTTGCGGGATGTTGCGTTTAACGTCTCTTCACGATTAAAAATAGAGGCCTTATCTCTGCGCAGCTGCTTTGCGCCGTTTGCCCCGTTTGACCCGGGAAGCAGACAGTTTCTTGGAGGTTAACCAGATGAATGAGTTCACACACATGCTTGTACAGCAACATGGCGTGCGCTATTTCTCCAAACCGGAAATTAGCCTGGGAACGTCCGATTTTTATGTGAGGTTCAAAACAGCTTTGCATTTATCATCACTCAGAAACGTGATTCTAGCTCTGTGTCACATTCAAAACGCACTTTTTATTCGGCATTTCAATATACCCATATATCTAAAGACGTTTGGAGAAGGCCTTGCGTTTATCACCTTAAAAATTTGCCTAAAAGACGTTTGTAAACGCTGATTCTAGGCAAAAAAATGGAAACGCACCCTTGGATTGCAATGACCCTCATGGCTCCAGACACAACCATTACACAGTATGATATCAGGGCTCGAATTACCCACCGGCAATCGGCAATTTGCCGCCATGCCCCTCTCACTGGCCGGAATGCCCTTTTCAAAATCAAACCGTTTACGGCCACAATATTTTAATCCACAAAAGTTTTGCCGACATTATAGTCATCGTAAGCCAACCCGACTTGTAATGTTCAAAAAGGTTTTGTTGCCCATACGGAGCTTTAAAAACAATGATAGTCGGCAAGGTTTTGTTGCGCCCCTCCGGATCTCTAAAAACAATGAGAGTCGACAAGGTTTTGTTGCCCCTCCGAGGCTCTAAAAACAATGATTATCGGAAGGTTTTGTTGCCCCTCCGGAGCTCTAAAAACAATAATAATCGGCAAGGTTTTGTTGCCCCT